AATACTAATTTAAAAATATTAATGTAATAAAAATTTCTTAAAATACAAAATATAGGTTTTCCTACTCCTTAATTGATAAGTTGGATAAACTGCAGATGAATTTAAAAATAAAAATTACCCAAGATGATAATTGATCCCTGCACCGTTTCACAATAAAATCACCGAGCCTGATGTGAAATTTAGAGTCACTTTTTAACAATTTAGAAATTACGAAATGCGCCTGGGGATGCTCAACTGGATGAAGCTGCTCTCCATCACAAGGTATGAATTCCCGACTGCATGTTGAAGCGATTGCATCATAACACGCTGCACGATCTTCCATACTCACTTTCCGATCGAAAAAATCCAAACCAGCTAAAACAAATGAATCTCTGAAAAAAACCATGTCCGCAATTGTTCTAAAAATCTTTTTGTGCTAAAAAAAAATTATTCAAACGGTTACAACTAATAGTGCATTTGTAGAGAAACACAGGGGTTTCATTCCAATTCTTCCTCTTTCCTGCTCAAAAAAAATCTGAGTATATAACGATTACAAGAGAAACACCATCATTAATAAGGAGAGTAAATCAAAGCAAAAACAGTAGTTTATTGAGATGTTTAGTTATTAGAAAGTATATCGATTTTGAAAGTTAGTTCAGATGATTAGCAAAATTATTGCATTAAGCGTACTTGGAGCCTCCAGCATATCCAAAACAAGTAATGATCCATGACTTTCAAAAAGCAGTGTATCCATATTTGCTGCAAAATAATTGCAAAATGGCTTCTGAATATATGAAAATAATTCTGCGTAACGTAATTTGGAATCTTTCTTGCTGTATGGATTCCCATCTCCCTGAAACATTTAAATTCTGAGAATTACAAATGAAACTAAATGTTTCACGAAATGAAATAACTGAAAAAGTTATGAGTAAACGAAAAACTTATCAAATACAAATGTGTTATTAAAGCAAGTTCGGAATGATGTATCAATTAATCATAAACTAACCGCTTTATAAATCGCAACCTGCGATGCAGAACAAAAGCGAGGATCTCTTGGATGAATTAAATGATGCATAACTTTTACACCATAATTACTTTTAACAATTTCAGCAATATTATTCAACAATTCCTAAAAAGTAAATATCATGTCACCGTTTTTAAATCAAACAACAGTCGATTTTAAAACAATAAACCGCTATAAAAAAAACACCACAAATAATTAATTTCCTGTCCTTCTCTTTCTCCCACTTGTGATGAAACAATGATTCAGATTGATTAAATCCTTTTTTCTCGGCTTCTTCACATTTTATGAATAATATTAAAGCAAAAAAGACTGGAAAAAACAACAAAAACAAGTTAACCTTTAAAATACATCTATCAATCAGCACTGTATCATCCACAGTGTCAAAAACAGCAATCAAAAAACGATGCGCAAACACCTCCAAGCAAGTTTTCGTTATCAGTCCTTTGAAATTTTTCAGCATTATCTATAATAAGCACTTGGTTTTGTGACCAACAATAAAGTGGAAGCAAAAGAAAACTGCCTATTAATGTAATCAATTAATGCAATGTAATAACTTCTAAAGCCTATTAATGTAATCATTTCCATAATTTCTAAACAATTTTTCAAAAAAAAACGAGGAACCTTTCTCGTCTTTGCACAGCTATTCCATAAACACTTCATTGCAATGCGTACACCATCACTTGTATGGACGATCTAAAATATGTCCTTTAAAAATTTACACTTTAATTTTTACAACATCTAACTCAAATGCCTCGAATATTCGCGAAATGTCCTTTTTCTCTTCCCCTTGTCACTAAATCACCCTCCCGTTTTTCCCTTACTTCGGCTCAAGATATGTAATGCTTACACAATCTGTAATACTGATAAATTCTAATACTAATACAGCTTATTATAAACCGAAGGACGGCCTTACTTGAGGTATGCAAAGTTTTAATGAATCAATCATTTCTTCCAACTGCTTGCTGTCAGCGAATTCGAAAAAATCACTCAACAAACGATGCGTAAGACTTAACTTTATCTGAGGTCTAAAAATAAGCGTGATTTATAATAAATGGATTTCCGTACTCATCAGCAAAAAAAGGAAATCAAAAAGAACAAGATTCAATTAAGTCAGTTAATCTGCTGTTTTTGCTTAAACTGCCAAATGAAAGTCAAATCAGTAATTACTTGTCCACAATATCAACGAGAATATTTTCAAGGTACTTGACAATTGATAATTTTCTATTGGGAGAGTCGGCCATTATTTCTTTCAGTGTGCGCACTCTGTTATCAGCATCCTAAAACACACCAAAAATTCAAACTTAAGAACATATCAATTTCAAAGATTAAATCAAATTTCAGTTGAAAAATAATTTTTGTTTACTTGAACAATACATTTATATAAAAAACGGTAAATTTTTTTACAAATAAAAACCAATGACCTTAAAGTAAGCGAAATCCACTCCATAAAACTCAACAGTAATGTTATACCGTTGTTGTGCATTTGCATAGTCATTATACGCTGATTCTAAAACTTGTGCTGCTGATGACACTCGTAAAAGCGATACGCAATGGCCTCGAAACGCATCAAATATTATTTGACGCTGAATGACAGATCTAAATCAAAGCATTTAAATAATGATCATGAAATTATTTTATGTGAAGTTCACACAAACTTCTTTCACCTTACAGTACATTAAAATATATAATATATAGTAGGAAAAGCTAAGCGTACTTTATAAAATCGTTTTGAGAAAGAGTTATTGATTGATTTCTAATTGCTTGAAGCTACTGTAAAGAATTTAATAAATCTGAATGTTAATTAAAATTCCTGAAATATATATTTCCAAACTTTTATCAAGACTCAAGACTTATGCTTTTACTTGAAATGAACATAACTTGCATGCAAATTGGATTAAAAAATCTCCTTTCTTCATTTTTCTAAAGTGCCCCGTTGCCTAAATTTATCAAAAATAGTTTATTAGAAGCATACCCATGTTTGAGCATTTTCATGACGAAAAAACGAGCATATTTCGACTTCGTCATGCGGATGATCTCTGGTACAAGTTCTTCAAAAAGAGCATTTCGAACATCGCTTCCTCCATTCGTTATCATGCATTCCACAATTCGGCATGAATCATGTGCGAATATTAATTCCTTCACTTTTCCCTTCACTATTCCAAAAATTTCGCTGGCCAGCTTCTTCCGTTCAGTCTCACTCGTTTTTCCACTACAAATATTGATTTGAAAGCAGTGATTGCAGTTTCTTAAAGATATTGTTCAAAATAAACTGAAGTCAACAGATTTTCTGGAAGAAATAGGATTGCATAGCAATAAGTCAAAAACAAAAACTACCAGCGTAATTTTTCCCAGAAATGTTTGCACTTAAGTACTAGATCAAAATATGGCCTGTGCTTCCTTCGTAACTCTCGAATATACATTATGCGATCTTTCTTTGACATATTCAACAATTTCTGCTTTACTTTCCGCGTTACCTAAAATACAAATGTTCAGCTTCAAAAATTATTTAAATGACGATTGAAAAAATATAATCGAAATCCTCAAATCGAGGAAAAGAAAAGGGCTTAGTTTGCTTAAGAAAATGGAAAATGGAGCTATTTCTATGCAATACTGCTCATAAAACTTTGACAATACTATAATCACAAACAAACAAGAATGATTAAGTTAGCTCAACATGAATACACTCATAAGTTTGCATATATTGAAGAGATTTACAAACCTGCAACTTTCTTCTCTTATTAATTGGCCTAATTTTTCTATAAGCAATTTTCTGCATTCTTTTTCCCGATGTTTCTGTCTCCTCTTCCGAGTTTGGTATAGAAACTTTCATCGATAAATTCATCGAAGTCTCCTGTTTGAGTTCTGTTTTTGTAGCTTCAATGTGACTTTCCCCTACTGTCAAATGTGTAAGCATATTCTTCTTTCCTGAGATTTTATCTCTAGACTTTGGAGTTACAAGCAAACTTGGTGATTTTTCCGGCCCATCTTTTTTTATAATAATGCTTCTACCAGGACTAGCCGTTGATGGCGTAATCTGAAATGCATTCACAATATCATGCACATCTATTTCGTCCAACCATAAAGAATTTTGTGACACTCCATTATTCGAGTAAACCATTCCCTACGGAATATTATGAAAATAATTTGCATCAAAACTGTATAATGTAGCTGCGGTTACCTTCGTAAAACCTATACAAAAGGACAAGATTTCAAGTAGTTTTACTTACTGCTAGTTTCATCCTTTTATCAAATACTTTCATTCTTTCCAAATCGGCAGCAAATGATACTCGTTTCTTTTTCGCTTCCAGAAGATTCACACTATCCTTCTCACGTCTTTTATGAGTGAAATCTTTTTCTTGCTGTTTACTTTCCACCTGCAAAAGTGTTTCAAAATACATCTCTCTCCTCATTCTATGTCTCAAAAGCATTCATTAATTCTTCTTCTGCACAAAAACTATATGAATCCTGAAAAATTCAACAAAAATTTATCAGGCAACAAATCAGAGTATAAAGTACAAGAGCTACCTGTCCATTAGCCTTCATCAAAGATTTTCTAGCGGTATGCTTGCTACTATCCAACATCGACTTCTCCTTCTCTTTGCTTGAAGCAATCCTTTTTCTTTTCACTTTTTTCACCTTCATTTATCTGTTTCTCCTGCAAAGTAAAAACCATAGTATGCATTTCTTCCCAACCACCACATTCATCACCTAACCACCTGAGTGATACTCATTACTTATCACTTAACACCCACATCACCTCACACTCTCAACAGCGGATGCAACAGCTGAACACGATTTGCGCCAAGTAAAACACCTGCGTCACTAAAATTAGTTAACGATGAAAATACACATCCCGTCATTCGTTTTTCGTGCAGTAAAGGAACTGAGACGTAATGAAGGTGAGGGACTGTTGGTCGATGTGTCATTTGAGATGCTGGTGACCTGAGGTCATACTGAATGCTAGGCTATGCATAATGCACCTCATACGTCATTCGATTTCATTATTTGAAGAATTATGGCAATGCTTGTTGTATTATTGTACTCGTCGCTGTGAGTCCTTTGTACATATGTCTTTTCACCCAAAACAGTTTCACATTTCACTCAGCTCTCACTTCACTATTAGCGATATAGCATTAAAATCGATGGCAGTCATCGGCGAATCATCTTGGGAACTCATACCAATTCATTTTAATCCTTTTTTAGGTTTTAAAATTTGATTTGCGCATCTATTAGTGACGTGCACTGACTTGGCTGGTATTAGTGATCTTTTCTCTTTTTGCTCTCTGGGCTCCCAATTGATAATCTTTCCATTTGTGAAATTTTAATTTTCCTGGTGCTTTGATGAATTCAAATGTTTCGTCGTTTATCATACGTGGAATTCATTCATTGTTAAATATTCACAACTTTGTAATTAATTTCGTAGTTGCTAGTACATTATATTCTATTTCGCACCATGTTTTATCATTTATATATTTTGATGAAGCTAACAAGGCATTCGTGTGGGAGGAGAAAATTGACAGTCAGATTAGGGTAATTCGAGAGCATTAACTCAACTTTCGAGAGCCATATGATTGAAGATAGTATTTAAAGATAAAGTCGGTGGAATTCCACCTATTGTCTTTATATCTGATTTAATGACTTATCGGACCAGTTTTGTAGTAAACTTGGTATAAATTCAAAGAATTGTTTTTAGATAAATCAGTTTAATTTTAATTTTATTTGATCTTCTTCAACTTTATGCAAAATCTAACTTGATTAAAATTGGAAGCAATTTTATTGAATGTCAAACTTTCGAATGTCTCACATTCACAGATATGTACTAGTATAGAAATAAGTTAATAATTTTAAAAAGACTTGATTGTTTATTTTGATTTTTCAAGCTATAATTTTTTTGTACCTTTTTATACGAAAGACATTCAATTAGAAGAAGTCAAGAAAAAATGATGAGTGGGAAACGAAATCGTTTTTCACCTTTTATGATTATCGTGACCGAACTTTGTGTCTACTGCTTTGAATTTTTTTTTCAGTTTTATCTAATTTTTCCAAATCTCAGTATGGTGGACACTGATAGGAGTCACATATTGAAACCACTGCTGCTTGGCCTAACGATGGTAGTTACTGGATCGGTTAATACTATCGCTGCAAAGTAAGGATCGTTATAGGGTTTATAAATTTAAAATTCGATTTCAATGATTTTTTGCTGTTTAGAATTTTATTGTTCTTATACTAGCTCTCATGAAGTTGTGGTGTTATTTTTTCATATTTCGACATATTGTGATGTGTACTCCGAGGCTTTGAAATTTTTTTCATTCCTTTTTTCTTTCTTTACCTAACTTTTGGAAAAATAGTTAAAGAATTGTTTATTATACAATTGGTTATTACACAGTTATATGAAATAATAGCAGTGGTAAATAGATCAATTTTCACTTTAAATTTTTGGTAATTTCTCAACACATTGCAGGTGGGCTGATAGTATCAAAGTGAATAGTAAGTATTTCAATCATCCATTCGTTCAGGTACATTTCTAAGCTTATAAAATTTGAAATTATGTTATAAATTTGTTTAACTTGTTGAGTGGTTTTTTCCGCTTTGTTAATACGTATGTACCATCAGTTGGGGTACAGTGGATAACAGTTCTGCATTATTTCAAAGATGCATTATTTTGCATTATTTCTGCATTATTCTGCAATTCTGCATTATCCTTATTTTTGAAAGAATTTTGTGTTCCTTTAGAATGAAAGTAGTGGAGTAAACTGTGCATTGTATATTTATTGTCTTTTAAATTTTAGGCATTAAATTTCAATTTTTCTTATAAAATTCATTGGATAGACTTGCATGATATGTTTCGTTTCTTGAGAGTTATCATTATTTTGGAAATAATTAGCATGAAAGATATTTTGTTATAATGCGTTAAAAGTTTTAATGGATATTTATCTTCAGGCAATTTGTATGTTTATCGGTGAACTGTCATGCTTATTTGTGTACTTCATTGCACTTTGCATTCGAAATCGTCGTGATCGGGCGTCATCATATAATGATGAAGGCAATGGGAGCGGTATACCTACTCATATGACAGAACGAAATTCACTCAAATTTAATCCTTGCGTATTCGTAGTACCAGCATTTTGTGATGTGCTTGCGACTTCAATAATGTATATTAGTTTAAACCTTACGCAGGCTTCATCTTTTCAAATGCTGAGAGGTTAATTCATTGGTGTTTTGTCTCTCTATTCCTCGACTTGAAGTTTTTTCTCCTAATGTATTTGCCTTTCATAATTTATTACCTATGTTAATTATGAGGTTCCTGAGACGTGTCTTCTGTGATATTTGGTTATTATTGTTTTTCGTCTTTGCTACTTAATCAAATTGCAGCATATTTCATTAGATCAAATCTTTTTTATTTTAGGTGCCGTAATAATATTCACTGGTCTTTTTTCGGTTGCTTTCTTAAGATCATGTCTGCAAGGTTTTCGTTGGCTTGGTATGGGCTTTATTACTATTGGTCTCGCTATCGTTGGAGTGAGCGATATTGTTTTCGGTGAAAACACTAATCATGATATTAATGGAATTATTACAGGTTTTGTTCACTATTTAAAGGAGAAAAAGATTGGCAAAATTTCAGAAATAAATGAAATTTAATTGTGGGCTTAAATTTATTTAAAAATCGCATCACAAAAAATCAACATCAAAATCAAATCAGAATTAATCATTATGTCATTACCATCTATAAAATCATGTTAATATTAAAGATTGTAAAGAGAAGCAATATCGAATAGTGAATTTAAGATGAATATATTAAGAGCACTGGCATTATACTTGCATTTTTGAACATTTTATATCATATAATATAATTAATCATTAGAATTATTATATAGGTAGAGTGACGACTCAAGTAATAATTACTAGAGACGACTTTAATAGTCATTACTTGTGAAGATTTTGGAAAGATTAAATGCTAATGAAATGTGATGTTTAAAAATATGTTCTTGGTAAAAAAATGATATGTTTAAAAATATGCTCTTGGGTTAACTTTTCCTCAAAATTTCAGGAAAAACCTGATATTATATTGGTAATTGTCTTGATCTACAATCTTTTTGATGATATTTTTCAGGCGATTTGCTGATCATTATTGCTCAAATCATAGTAGCAGTTCAGATGGTCATTGAACAGAAAATCGTCTCTGAACTTAATGCACCACCCTTGCTTGTGGTTGGTCTGGAAGGTTTGTTATTCTCACGCTAATTTTGCCATGAAATTTTTATATCATTTTTGATTTTCCGATAATGTTTATTAGATCTGGGATTTTATATATATATATATATATATATACGTGGCAAAGAGATGCGTAACTCTTTAAGTTGTTTGAAAGGTTCACAAAATCAATTATTGTAGGTCTCTTCGGTTTAGCGATTCTGACATTTTTGCTGTTTCCAATGTATTACATCAGAGTGCCATCCATTTTTTCAACAAATCCGTATCATCGCCTAGAGGATATATTCGATGCATTTAGAGAAATAAAAAGTAATCCATGGATTGGATGTGCGCTGTTGCTTACTATGATTAGGTGAGTTGCAATAATTATTCAGTTGGTTTCTGAAGATGTCTTAATTAGAGAGTTATTGAAGAATTAGTCGATAGTCGATGGTCGATGGTGTAACATGTTTTTAAGCGGTAGGTATTAATAGATTATTTTCGTTATTGTTTTAATAAGTCTTCACTGGAATTTAGTAGTCCGATATCTTCTGGATAAATTCACTAATTAAATTTGTGTTTTCTGTCAGCAACATGTTTGAAGTTTTTTCCTACACAGCCTTCCTCTCTGTTGACAATTTTTTCTAGCATTGCATTTTTCAATTTTGCTGGTATTTCTGTCACCAAGGAACTGTCAGCAACGACAAGGATGGTACTTGACAGCGTTCGAATTCTGTTAATTTGGCTGGTGTCGATTCCACTTTTTGATGAACACTTCATTCCTTTGCAGGTATACGGATTATGCTTAATGTCTTTTTATTAATATATTAATTCCACTGAAAGATGGATAGAAAAATATGCGTCCATTTTTTCACCTTATTTTTGCAGCTACTCGGGTTTGCACTGCTCATTCTTGGAATGTTTGTTTATAACGATATCTTTTTTGGACCTTATTTACGCCAAAAAGTAAGTTTGTTTCCAGTTTAAAAAATCGTCTAAGTTTGCAAAAGCTACAAAACATATTCGTTTGAAGCTTGGTCTGTCAAATTTTTATTTGACATCCTGTCCAATTGTTATCTTTTTAAATCATCTGATTTTGTTTTAGTACATCTGTTGATTTCTTCATATTCTTGATTTAAAAGGGAGTAAATATTTTTTGTTTTTAGATATTACCTCTTATCAGGAATAATAAGTTGGCTAGTTGTTGTATATCGTTTTGGGGAGTCGACTTGTCTGATGGCAGTGCTTTAATTGAAGACAATAATGAATATTGAAGTCGTGCTTTCCCTTCATTTTATCTTTTAATAGATGGTTTGTTGGGTTTTGAAAAATATTTGCGATTTGAAAGTTTTAAAAGAAAAAGATTGTTTATGTTTATTTTTTAGTTTTTCTTATAATTATTGGAATTTTCTTATTTGAGGAATTCATATGGCAATCAATTTTTTCACATGTTTCTTTCCCCGAGCTGTCTTGCAAAAGCAACATATTTTTTATACTATTTTAAAAATTATATCTCTGCAGTATGTTTCTATTCATGCTATTTATTGGTTTATTCACTCATTTCAAATGCTTGTAACAGTCTTTGTTATTTGTTTTTCGAAGAAATATTCCGAAGTTATTCATTTTGTGCTATCTCTAGTTTATGTAATCCTCAACTGGAGAATATTCTAACTTACCGGAAGTTAGGATTCGTTTTTAAATTAACAACTCAAAGGCTTTACTTGTATCTGAAAATTGAGTCATTCTTTAGAGAATTCTACGTATCTTATATCGATGCAATTGTATAAACAGTTGCAGTTCAGTCACCAACTCTTGTAGTACTAGAAAGTAACTTTTTGATCGTGACATAATGTATACTGTGACTTTTTTTAATTCGTTGGTTGTCATAAATCTATGTGAGTAAAATATTATCAATTTATTTCATAAAATTGTGCACTTCCCTGTACATTATTACGTTTCAAAATATTACTGATACATATATTATTAATAAAAAAAAGCTCTCAAACGATATTAGTATAGTTCGTTATCAGTTGTTCGAATTTTTTCTACAAATATGAATTATTATTTTGCTTAGTTCAAGATTTTAGCATCTTATAGTATAACGGTTCAATCTAACAAATTCAATACTGCAGTACGTCAGTTTCTTAAACTGATGCTGAGCAGAACCATCTATGATGATTGAAAATCAGTATAATAATAAGCGAAATATTGATCATACAAACAGGTGTACGTTGTGATCTTTGTTAGCTGTTATACTTTTCTTCATTATTTCTTTGTAGAAGTTAACTGAAGTGCTACTGAGAATAAATTTGCACTCTTTGCTTTCTTGAATGTGAGTTATGATTCAGCGCTCAATTTTGGTATTTTATTTATTTATATATTTCAATTCAAGGTGTTTTGCGACGCCAAAAATAAAAGGAGCATAATCGCTTTCATTCTAATTTCCGTCCAGGCACACTTTTACTTGGTGCCATCTGTGCAGTAGTTTCTGTAGGAAATAAATCTTGTACTGATTGCCTTATTTATTGCCGTGTAAAATCCAATTGCATCATCTTTATACGAGTATGACAATAACCCACTAATTTAGCAGAAAATAATGAAATTTTTTTTAATAATGAAAATTTTTCGTAATTTCTACTTTTGATAACTATAATAAGAAACAGCTGGATTAATCAAAAATCAAAATGGTTGATAGTGAGGAAGTTCTGATGTGCTGTATATCTAATATTTCTTAGAAATAGGTATTTTCACTCAGCTTTAGCGTAATCCCAATTCATCGTTTGAAACTATTGTTGACTTAAATTTTTATAGGATTCAGGAATCATATTCTCACAGCTGCATTAATGCGATGCATGTCGAAGGTAATGATTATTTAAAGTATGTTTTCAGCATTTTTATATATGTAATCCAAGAATTATTATTTTGATTATAATTCTTATTTTCGTTTCTGATTCTTGGCACTGCTCTTACAGTAATACTATGCCTTCATAATAGTATAGATTGTTTACTGCCATCTGTTAGTAGTTGCATTTAACTAACTATAAATTGAATCTTGTTAATTTCTATTCGCAAACATATAGCAAAAATTTTCGAAGATAAATTAGGTTTGTTTAGGAATCACATTCACTACTGTTTTTTTTCCAAGGTTTCTTAACAGTATTTACTGCAATGAAAATATTAATTGCTTTTTTCATAAATCCTTATTTTGCCTGGAAATTTCAAGTTAGATTGCATGGAACTTTTTGCAAACTGTTTACTCTAATTTCTTGTTATTTGACTTTATTTTTCATATATTTGGAATGTTAATATCGATTAATTCACTATTACGAAAAACCATATTTAGTTTCATTATAAAATTTGTTGTGATTGGTGCAAATTTTGCTTTCTTATACTACACTATTTAATAGCTTAACAACATGAAAGGCTGTCGCATAACATTCTAACAATGAACTAGAAATTGAAAAATGAAATTTGTCATCGTTTTCAATCAGTGAAATTTTAAATAAAATTATACAATATTTTACCTAATAAACTGGAGACAGATAACGCTGTTTGCTATTCGTTTGATCTGAGTACATAAGAATAGACCTTCAGAAAATGGAATCCAGTTTTAAATTTTCTCCAGATTATTCTTTCATTTGTTGTTTCAGAATTGTTAGATTATGACTTATGCGGCAATAAAATAGCAGATACTTATTGTATAGTAATATATAAACATGAAGAGATTTATTCATTAATAATCATTAGTAATTCACTCTGATAATCTCTTATTTACATTAATCTTGTTTAATTAAATTGCAAATGTAAAATGATAATACAATCATTAAAGTATTCAACTTTAAAACAAAGAGATTAGTATGCTTTGTTAAGTTGTTATGATTAATTTCATTGGCATATTATCACACATCAGATGGTTTATGAAAAGAAATCGAAGGTATTTTAAATGGATAAACTTTAATTTTTGTACAATGTAATGGAACTATTAGGCCTTTGGTTTCACTCTGGATAAACTTTAATTTTTGTACATTATAATGGAACTATTAGGCCTTTGATTTCACTTTGTTATATTTTATTGGTTCTTTCACAGTAGTAAATACTTTTTCCTCGATTTTTCTATAGTTTTCGAAATATTTAAATCTAAATATTTACAGGTTTTGTTTTGGATATAAATTTTTTCATTTTCAAGAATTTTTCTAATTCAATTTATGAAAAGGCTCGATGTTGCATGTTACTAATTCACCGATGAAAAGATTTGTGTATGAGATGTGGCGTGATGAGAATCTGATAGCAACGCTACTTCGGAAACGTGTGAAGAACAAAAAATCAATTGTCATTGATTATTCTTCCCCAAATATTGCCAAACAATTTCATGTTGGCAATTTCAGGTCTTTTTTGGAATTTCTTTTTTAGAAGGGAAGGACCATTTTTCATATTAGTTTTATAACTTATCTACAAATTGTTTAAAACAAAGTTTTGTCGTGTGAGAGAAATAAGCGCTGCAGTATGGTATTATGAATACTAAATTTATATGTTTTCTCAGTGTTGTTACTATCTTAAAGTGGAAAAAAGATTGGTATGCGAATCATTGTTATAAGTTGACTTCATTTGGAGAAGCAAAACTATCTCATACATATTAATTTCATTAGGGTTCATTAAATGCTATTCATGGTTATGAATTGTTTGTTTTCCATCGATATTATTGAAAATTTTTCGCAAGCATTTTTTCCCAAATGCTTTTGTTTTTTTTTTCTACAGATCCACTGTTATTGGACGCTACATCGATACAATAAATAGGGCTGCTGGCAATAAAGTTACATCTATCAACTACATTGGTGATTGGGGGTTACAGTTTGCATTGATTGCCGCTCACTGGCCTATGATAAAACCCTCCGATGAGGTATATTTCATAACAAAAAACACGTTATCCATTTTTTATTATTCCTTATATGAAACAGAAGAAATTTTTTTCTTTTCAGGAATGGTCTACATGGAATACGATGCAAAAGTTTACTCTTTTAACTAAATGTTATATTAGAGCGAACAAATTAGCTGAACATTCTAACAGTTTCCTACAAGGAGCTCATAATATTCTTGCTAATATGGAGAGTTCTCTGTTAACTGCCACCACCAATGAGCATTTGTTATTCTGGCAGAATGTGCGACAATTATCACACGAACAGTTACATAGTTTTTATAGGTATAGCAAAGTCATTTGTAATGTGATTATATTTTGTGTCTTAAAGATGGACATTGATGTAATCATATTTTATATGCATTCGTCATAAAAAGACTGACATTGTTAATAGGTAAAGAAAGCTATAAAGCATGGAAAATCAAAATTAAGTATTGTTGCATTGATGAGAGATTTAAACGATTAACATGCTGCACTGGGACTGGAATATAGTTTGAGGATTTCTGACAGGTCTTGAAAATATGAAAAATCTGCAATGCATTTCAAATAAAAAAATTGCAGACGTATCAATTTATCAATGGATGTGGAACATTTCGAATCCGACTTTGTTATTTCTGCTCATCAATTAATTGGTCGTATGTTGCGAGAAGGACAAGCGGAAAATGCCGGTGATGGTGCTGTTTCGGTCAGGTGCAAAGAACAGGACAGACCTATCATTATCAGAAGATCCAATAACACTACTCTTTATTTGTCCAGGTTCTATTTTGTTGGCAAAATCGCATTAGTAATAAACTGAAATTAGTAATCATTCAGTTTTTTGTAGATTGCGTACAATTTACACTGATGTGATGCATATTGTGAGAGAATAATTTCTAAATACCAATTTCAAAAGTTTAGGGATTTAGCATCGGTTTTGTCACGGGAACAATTGTACGCAGCGGATGAGTATTTGTATGTGGTTGATCATGCACAGCGACAACATTTCACCAATTTAAAGCACCTTTTGAATGCCATCGGACGAAAGGACATCAGTGATAAAATACAGCATGTCTCATTTGGACGCGTAAAAGGTCTTTCTACTAGGTACTGCTGCTTCTGCATCATCATTTAAAATTTTTATTCTCGTTCTGCTGAACCGACTATAAGCGAAGTGTTATTTTCAGTTCGTTTTTGTTCGCGAATACTTTGTTATCCAGTCTGTAGATTTTTTTAAAGACTTATATTTCTCGTTTTCATGAATTTTTACAGGCTGGGAGAAGTTGCATTGGTAAGCAAAATACTGGATCATGGTTTGGAGCTTGCAGAATCTTTCGTCACCAAATCTAAAACGATGAAAATTGGCCAGAATGAAATCCCTCGTAAGTTACCTGCTACACTTTAATCATCTGAGAGACTAATATGGTCTACTGAAGTTCGAATATTTAAGGAAATAGTATTTAACATACTGTATTTTTAAGAAGTCGTAGCTAATTTATCACTTGGAACAATGATAGTCGATGATCTCAAGAGAGCACGGTCCACTGATTACTCATTCTCATTCGATAAGGCATTTCAATTAAATCAGAATAATGCTCTTCTTCTACAGGTACAATTTTCTTTACAAAATCTTTAGAGTACTCAGTTAGTTTCATATCTTCTATGCTGTCATTTCTTGCTTTTGATGTATGCTAGAAATCCTTTGATTAAGCTCTCTTCTCGTAATACATAAATAATTCTAAGGTTAGTGACTAAGCCTATTCTTTAACAGTTGTAACTATTGATTTCAGACAAAACATAGTCGACTAATGTCGATCGAGGAACGGAATCATGCCTTGAAACAGAGTTTAATGCAGGGATTTGAGGGGGATTTTGAAACGAATGAAGCGAGTTGGCGTCTTTTAAAGCAGTTCAAAGCATTTCCTGATGTCTTGTATGCTAGCTATCAAGAAATGGAACCCTGCAGATTAACCGTGTATTTACTACAGCTGGCAAACATCGTGGGCTCTGCTTCCTCCATCCTTCGAATATCAAAGGAACCATTAAATGTAGCAATACCAAGACTTTTATTGTTATCAACTGCGCGGAAAATCTTGAACAGTGGAATGTGTCTACTTGGTATAGAGCCATTGAAGAAAATGTGATGATAAAAATATATCCCAGATTCCAGTTATGCGTACCATGAAAATCTCATTTCATTTTCATGAGCTAAATTTCTTAAAATAGGTATATTTTGAATTTGAATACCATATTAAGTGCAAACAGAATGGTAGTTGAATACTTAATACATTGGTTTGAACGCATAACTCAAGAAACTTAAATAACAACCGAAAGTTTCTGCACTGGCACATCGCATTATTTAAAGTTTACAACATTGTGAAAGAATGTGGAAGGTTTCTTAGAACCTTGAAAAATCCTTGAAGTTATTTTTAATGATTAAAATCACCTCTCACTTGTTATTTTGTGCATTTCAATTTTTAAACCCATATTTTTATTCAACAAAACAATAGTGAATTCAGAACAACTTTTCTTCAGAGCAACTTTTCTTTTTACATCATACTCAACATGTGTATCAAACAACTAAAGTTCTTCATGTTGGTCAGTGATAGTTGCAGGATCTGGACATGCAGCAGGGGAACGCAAAGTAAAAAGATATTCACATTTGCTTGGTTCTGATGCTTCCACCAATAATGTCTCCTCTCCACATTCAACGACTACCTTTGTGGATCGATCTGGTCCATTCCAGCACGGTGTGCCATTCTGGTAGCTTTGTAATGTATATTTATTTGGTTCGGATCCAATCCATCCACTCCATTTACTGCAATATGAGCTTAACCGAAAATTTGCAAAAATTCAATTTTCAAAGTTATTTTACGGAATTTCAAACTGTGACATAAAACGTCTGAAAAAATTATATGAGAATAGTTTAAAAAGTCTAAAACAATTAATTGTATTAAATTTTGAAAGTTGGTTAATAGTCCGATTACAACTTACAGGATGACTGATTTTTAAATAGTTTAAAAACATTGATGAGAATACTGATTATTGAATATTTTCAACATACCCTAAGTCGGTATCGATAGCGCTATTTTTACCCTTCTGCACAGCTTTATCAAATAAGCACAACTTATAAATATATTCGTTTTCACTCATTTCAAAGCATTTTCCTTTCAGCGAAGCCCAAGCCATATCGGTCCCAAAATCATCACCTTCATACCGTTCAGAATCTCTGGAAAGATTTCATATTAAATTTATGCTGGAACAAAAATATTCCATCAGCACAAGTCTATCAGTTCAGGCACATATCTATTCAAATATCCTATTTAACTTCTCGCCACTTGTTCCCTTTGCTTTCTCTACTGTTCACTTTTCTTTTTCTTCTACCAATGTCCTTCACTTATTACATTACATATTTCCAGAAACATTATTACTTGATCGACAACTCGAGATCCGTATAGCGTTTATCAATACTTTCATACTCCTTCTTTGCATCCTCCGCTTCTGAAACAGCAATTTGATGACTCAAAACTCAAATTTTCAGACCTAATTTCCACGTATAACCTCACATTTGACAGTTACTTATTAAATGAATATTAATAACTACAAAACCTTTCACTATTGTTTGTGTTTCTTCGTCGAAAGGTGGTTGCTTTAAATCAATATTTGGGATTCGAGGAATTTCCAAGCCAATACTTCCACTTTCATTTGGTTTGATTTCTCGTGGTGTATCAGTTCCATTATTTTCTGGCAATTCTGGAATTTTTTACAAATCAAACCATCTTAATTGATACAGTGAAAAAGATATTTGAATCAGTGTAGTCCTGTACTTCTTGACTTCTTCAAAAATTATAATTCTTGGGAATAAACCCCTGATTTGTTCAATATTGCTTGAGAAATTAAGTTCAAATCTCAATGCCAAACTTATAAACTCTTAAAGTACTTTATAAACAATCGGATTTACTTGAGAAAAACATGTCAGGAAGTGGATATCTCTATCTCATACTCTATTTCATTCTGGATTGATAAAGCATATTGAGTGACGGCATGGTTATATTTTTTTTCACATTATTTGACTTGTTTCTCTTTTTAGCTTCTCATTTTATGTCTTAGTCTATGTTTCCAATGTTTTCCACCCGTATTTCAGTCGTTTTCTGATTTTGAACCACAATTTGACATCAATAATAACGTACCAGAGTCAAATTCTATTGGTACGGGTAAGGCAGACTGCGGTTTGTTTTCATCTTCTGTCTCAACTTCGCTTGGTTTTTCAAAAAGACTGCGTATGTTGTCATAAACATTTTCCAAAAATACTTTGAAGTCGCAATCTTTCATTTCATCAGGTAAAACATGCTAAAATTCATATGAAAAATTAAAATCTCAATAAGGGTAAAAAAGAAGCTTTCGTGCTTTATAATCAAAGATTTCTTCCACTGCGATCAATTCTATATATTCTCTGCAGGTTACCTAATTTCAACGATGGAAGAAATTGGAGAGAACAGTTATTATCCCACTGAAAAGGTGAGAAAGAACTGCGAAAGACTAATATTAATCAAAGAAGAAACCTTTATTTCGTCGTCAGAAACAGCTCCATCCCCATTTGTATCAAATTCTTTCGCCAATTTCAATTCTTCCAAAGTAACCCTTAAATGTCACTAAGTTTGGTGCCTTCATTCCCAAATTTCGAGAAAAAAAATTGGTGTTTAAAAAAATCGGTATATTATGTTTTGCAGAAACTTTTGCACATTACTACATGAATCTTTACTCGTACACGACGAAAATAGAATGCCTTACTTCCCATCTTTATTCGAGTCGAATGCAGTGAACAGTATTTGCACATATTCTTGCTTGAGTCTCTCCTTTTCTTCTGCAATAAAATTATTTTAGAAACAAAACCGTACTGGCTTTTGTAATGATAATTCAAGGAATACTAATTTACAAAGCGTCAAAGTATCAGCATCATTCTTGCAAACTGGATTTCTTCATTTATGATTTGCCATCCTACTATTTTCAAAGAAATTAAGTGTTGACTTAATGTACTATTCTACCATTCTTTTGAAGAAATTAAATAGGACTTATTATGTTTAAGACAAGTTAAAATTCTACATCGAGAAACTTGCAGAATTTGCTTTGTAATGACTACATTAAAAACAAATTCATAAAAATTGCCGGTAAACGGCCATTCCCTTTTCTTAGCGTATTTTAAAAAGAGCGACCATCAATTCAATTTAATTGACTCTAATCAGAATTGAATTACCCTCCCAAGCCTTTTCATGTTTCTTTTTTGCTTCCGCTGCCAGATTGGCTTTCTCATCCATTTTTGTTTGGGCATCAGTTCTTAGTTTCGTTATTTCATCCATTTGTTTTTTTAGAGTCTTCAACTGTTCTGATTTTTCAGTTTTCAGTTGCTGACCTGCTGCAGCCAATTCCATTCGTTTTACAAAACCCTGGAAATTATTTCCTGATTTATATGACATTGCTGATAATTGCAAGAAAAAAACCATTACAGCAACAAGGTCAAACTCCATAAGCGAATTAAAGCAATGATCAGTCTGACGGTTAGTTAATAATTTGTAAGCAGATGCATTAGTTCATATGAGACTGTCTGAAAATGTTACGAGTCATTAGTAAGATCCAATGTATAAAAAAGGAGAGAAAGTCTGTACAGTCTGTATAACTTAATATTTAATAAAATTATTGTTACAGCATTACCTGCTTTACTAATTCAGTTTTTTGACGTACTTCTTCTCGATACTTCATTCCTAATTCATTGCAGATATCAGGACAGTCAACTGCACTATCCCATTCATCACTTCCATCACAACAATCTAAAAAGAGTAGTCAGAACAATGTTTTGCCAATCTAGAAATGAAACAGTTTTTTTACATTTGACAAAACTGACTTCAGTCATCAAATTGTTCGAAAATTTCGATAGGGGCTCGGAAAATCTCCAAATCATTATTGAAATTTCTAAGTTCGAGTTGGAAATAAATTATGCTTTACAGAAATTGAGAGAAAATTCATGCTGCAATAAAACTAATAAAAAAATGAAAAGTGAGGACGATGGAAGTGAGATCATTTTCTTTGCAAAAAACGAAAAAAGAAAACAATTTAAATACTCAATCTCAGCAATCAGCACAACTGTTCCATGATCGCAAGTTGTTGCTACCGTCAATACAATCATCACTATTCGGTTAATTTTTAGTTTATTAAAGATTAACTAACCACATATTTGGTCATTCACTCGATTTGATGGTAAATCTTCAGCCTTAAAACCTCGATTTAAACAATGAAATTTCGCATTTGGACATGCAGACGTTCCTGAACAAAAATATTAAGAATTTTTTTTTAGAATCAAAACATCGGTAAACAACTATCTCTACTTTGGAAAAAAACAACCTTCCTTTGATTATGTCATAGGAAGTAAAAACTAAAATGTAAGTAAATTTTATCATGCTATAAAGATTCAAGAAAAGGTTATCAGATTAACACCTTTCTGAAAATAATGAAGCATTACAAATATCAAAAATATAAAACAGTGATAGCTGAATTTCATTTCTGGATATGAATCTGTAACTAAAATTGTTCCTAGAAATTTTTTACTCTTAAATCTTTGAATCGTTTAATATGCTCGTGAAGTAAGAAAAACGAAGAAAAGAAGGTAATAATACACAAACCTGGTTCATCACTTCCGTCAGGACAATCGCAATAATCATCATTAACATGTGAGAATGGGATTGACTTGGAGTTGTCCACACATGCAAATGTTTCACCGGTTGCATAGAATGGCCCACCTTAACGAATCATTTACGATAATTCATCATGAATTTATCAACTTCATTTATCCTTAAATTATTCAAGACAGTGAGAATATGATTCAGTATTATTCCTCCTTTCTCTTCGTCCATACTTATTGATTTCATTTCAATTTAACACATTCATTTGTAATTCATCATTTCTAGCTACCTATTAGATAACTGATAAAAATACCAACGTGCAAACGGAACTCCACGTGGTCGATTGCCATACCCACTAGGTTTCGGCTTTCGTCCACTCTTTCTCAACTGGCCAATACTTACATTCGATTCAACAATAGCAATGAAGAAGTTTATAATACACAAACCAGCCAAAGTAAGCATCATCGTTGAACTATAAAAAAAATTTTAACACTTTCGAAGATAGATATGGAAAAAAGGAAGATCTAAAGGGAAGTGGTGGTGTTAATTGGTTAATTAAAAATTTTTTATCATCGTGAAATTTGAATGACGTTGGCTAACAGTACCTTAGCCAACGATAATTGAATGCAACTCTGCCCTTTCCACTAACATAACAAATCTCCGTGTTGAGAAGAAAACGGAAAACGCTGGAGCGGAATGCTGAATGCACAATAAAATACAGATTGTTAATTTAAAAACCGTGGACAGTCATGTACAGATTAATTTCACATTTAAAAATCGTAATACGTCACCCGATATGACCTCAATAAATGAATAAATCCCATATTGAGAATGACGGGAAATATATTTTGTCAATTTCACTCATCAACTCATTCTCTTCATTCAGCTCTGTTGAAGTATACTTTCTCTGTATGTTTCGTGATCTATGCCTTTCTTCAACAATCATGCCTTTCCCATTATAGATATGATAATCATATTCTAATTAAATAAACATATTCTGTGTAAATATGAACTTATTGCACTAAATGACAACATATCAGCCAAGTATCGGAATTATTTAAGTGATGAAAATTGAAGAATATTTAAATTAAGTGGAATTTGACGAGAAAGTATAAGAATAGGAGACAGCTGCAATATCATTCATTTAGTTCATTGTGTTTGATGTAAAGAAGTTGGTTTAGAACGCTAACAGAGATTGTTTCGCTTTTTTCCTTAGCAAAGCGTTAATGAATACTTCAAAAGGACCGCAATCAGATAGCTTGGAATATACAAGCACCCCTCGAGCAACAACCTCCTCTTCTTCACCTATGCCTGCTGCTCCTGCAAGGCTTGTTTAAATGATACCGATAGATTTCGTTTGTGAAATTAGCTTTTAAGCATGAACAAATTGAAATTAAAAAAAAATGAAATGCGCTTGAGGGATGGAAACTTTTTATTGAACTGTGAATTGCATACAATAAAATGTAGTTGGATTTGTCAAAGAATGATATTATTTCGTAAAAAGCAGAAATCAACGTGAAATCAGATGGAGTGAATTAATCTGACAGTCAATTATATCTTTGTGTATTTGTCCCTAATTTAATATTGAAATTCGGATTTTTGATATCAGTGCAAGAGAATTTCTGTCCAGATGTAGTGAAATTGTTTTCAGATATGTGTTGAAACCAGGCCAATATTTGCATGATATTGAAGAATCAGAAACGCTTGAGAGTTTTACACGTCGCGTATGTTCCATGAATGTTTATAGTTTGTTTTTTGATTATGCCACTGTTATTTCGAAGGACATCAAAGATCCATCGGCTATTTGTGAACAGCATGGAGCATTAAATCGATATAAGGATATTCAGTGCTTTGATCGAACTAGAGTTATAGTCCCGTTAGTTACTTTGATGAACTTATTCTCATTGTCTATTTTGCTTGAGATGTTTTCTTCAAATATAATATTTGAATTTTGATTTGATTTCTACAGTTCATGAATATTGTTTTAAAAAAAAATTGATGTATGCGTGAGTTATATTTTGGTAAATGTCGATGGCGTATTTATCCGAAAATTTCAGGCATGAATCAGGCAAACATAATTACATCAATGCTAATTATGTGGATGGATTTCGGGAAGAAAAGAAATTTATTCTAACGCAATCACCGATGGAAAATACAGTGGAGTCATTTTGGGCCATGATTTATCAGGAGAATGTGGTTGAAATTGTTGCAGTGAACGGTTTATATCCAGAAAAGACATTCTTGTATGTTCCATTCAAAAAGTCAACTATCGCCATGTTCGGACCTTATTCAATCAAATTTTGCGGATCACAGTTAATCCGGGATGTTTATGAAGCGTCAGTACTAAAGGTTGCTTACTTATCAATGGTTCACTGTTAGCAGTTTGACTTTGTGATAGCGATAACAAGATGATAATAGTAGTTATTGTATTAGCAATAACTTTCAACTGAGTGAAATGGAGAATTTTTTTTACTTTGTAAATGTATAACCAAAAAATGCTTCATTTTTAAGGCGCGAATTGTTTAAGGCTAAATCGTTGAATATTATATAACAGTGCTTTTAATGAGGGCCAATTTCAGTTAAGGAAAGGAGATGGTCAAGAACGAAAAATTCTTCATATATGCTTTTTTGCATGGCATGACAAAGGGACGCCAGAAAGACCAACTGAAATGCTTTATTTGATGTCCGATATAAATCACAATCGGGCGTTGTTCACTAAGGAAGCGGAAAAAAGCGGTTGGCTAAAAAATGGACGGTATGTTTTTGATGCATATATCATCCTTTAGTTTTAAGGCAAATCTTGGGAATTGGATTATTCTCTGTGTTCACTCCTATCCTTAAATGTTTTTTTATAATCTAAATCTTTATAAGTTATAGTATAAATGTAAAGATGACATTTTAGTATTTTCCATTCCTCAATTTGTTGGAAACAGAAAAGAACATAAACCTCTTCCGGAACCACACGATATACTTTATTTCCAGTTCACCAATCGTTGTGCATTGTTCGACGGGTGCGGGTAGAAGTGGCACATTGGCTGTGTTGGATATTTGCTGCCATAAAATGGATTATACCGAAAAATTAAATGGTAATGCGTTAGTGGATGTTCGAGATACGGTACTCCGTATCAGAACACAGCGTGACAAAGCGGTTACAAAACCCGAACAGTATCTTCTGTTACATTTACTTGTAATTGAATATGCGTTACGCCAGAAATACTATGATAATGTTGATTTCATTGATTTTTCAAACTATACCAGCGTTGCGTGAATATTACGATCTGTTTCAATTTTGCATTACCATGAGATTTTCGGGACAATGCAACGTAAAAATAGAAATGTAATAAAACGAAGTACCGACAGAGCAGATGATCGTTAATTCCATATAACAAAGATTCAAAAGCGAAATAAGAGAGAGAGAGAGAGAGCTGAAATTGTATGATTTCCGCGAAAGAAGGAAAGAAAGAAATGAATATTTTTGGATTGATATCTTGATAATCAATGAGATTTTCTATATGATTTATCGTGATCTATGCGGGAACTGCAAAAAGTTCTTGGGATTTCAAATACAATTAATTTTCTTTTAATATTAAAATTAATATTGCTACAAAATACTTCATTCTGAAGTATATAACAGTTCTGAAGATAGCGACTACAAGTACAATCTCAAAATTTTGCTGTACATTGTTTGGAAATTTGATATGAATCAATCCAGAGATCATTTCACCGCTCGTAAAGCGGCATTTCTCAATAACCGATAAGTTCTTGTAAGCTCACCGGTACCTACTTTCAAACCATTAGTTACATATGCGAGCACCAATTTTTCCTCCATATCCATCATTATCGTACTGCCACCAAGGCCAGCATGTCCAACAAGCCAATGACCCTATAAATGAAAAATCATTTAATTTGTGAAATTAACTTCCATTGTTTTCGATGCTAAGAAATGATAAAAGTAACATCAGAATTAAACTGATTAAATTTCTAATTCATAAATATTAAAATATCAAATAACGTACAGGTTTAAATGGATGACGTTCATACATGAAACCATATCCTTTTGGTAACGGTGCAAGGACTACTTTATCTAAACCATGTGATATTTCTGGAGCTTTAAAGAGATTTAATAAATTGCTCGATATGATTTCTCCTTGTAGAAAAAGTGAGAATAATTTAGCAAGATCATTTGCTTTTGTTATACCCAAAGCTGCTGCTTGTTCCATACGATGAAGATCCGGATCGTTGAATGTATTCACTGTCTAAAAATATTTACATATTCTTGTTAAAGTTTATAGTAAAATTAATACAACAACCTCATTATTGGATTTTTAAAAAAAGTAATGTGAGAGAGAATTACTGTGTCCATTTTCATCCAAGTCGTTGTTTCTCGAATTTTTCGTACTATTGAATTAGGTGCTCTCAAATTTAATATACCCAGCAAATATAAAATTCTTGGATCATACAAAATCTCTTTCAATTTGTAAGAAAATGGTGGTGTTGTTAATCGAGATACGGTGTGCTCTTCTTCTGATGGTAAGCCAAAATGAAAATCAATGCCTGAAGCATAATGGAATAAATATTACTGCCAAGACAATTTTCTTATTTCCTTTTTCATACTCAGTTTAAAGTACCGGCTAACAATAAATTATAATTTGACAATTGTGGCATTGATTCAATTCATAAGGCAAAAAGCATTTTTTGTATATGCAGCAGAAAATTTTTAACATTAAAATTAATAACTGTATGAGCAATACAATTGAATTTGTTATTTAAAAAAACTGTGATTTTATATGTTTTTGAAAAAATTGACTAAATTTTAGCATAAAACTTCTTGAATTGGAAAAAAAAACAATGACTGATAATTTTAATTTAACTTACCAAATTTCTCAGCAATTTCCTGCTTAAAAAAAGTTCCGATACCACGATGTTTCAAATCAACACGTCTAATAATTTGATCAACAAGCCATCCATACGTTATTGCATGATATCCTGCTTTAGTACCTGAACTAGAAGAGACAATTTGTTTGAAGTAATGTCATCCTCGAAAAAATATTTTTCCTTAAATTTTAATAATTGAGTAAAGATGAGTAGAACTTACAACTTTGTTAGTAATAATTGTTTACACTAATTAAAAAGTCCGTACTTAACTACCTTTAATTCTATCCCTTTCAAGCACATTTTTGAGGAAACAATAATGATTACAATTTTGAAGAAAATGTGACCCTGCAGAAATAATCATTGCTATCATTAAGTGGAAAAAAAAAGAAACATCTGCAAATAAAGGATTAACTGTATTCTTAGTTGATTGATAAATTTTCAATTAAATTTTTTCGAAACGAAATACCGCTTAATCTAACCTGGTATCCAATTCGGTTTCTGTCTTGCAATAATTTCTGCTATTTTCTCATGATCAAATGCATCTTCTTTAGTGATTGGTTCACCAAAAGCTGCCAAACCTGCCTTGAAAAAGAAAACTTTGTACGCCGTTTCAAATTTAATGAATTGTTTATTAAGTAATAAAATATCAAAAAAACTTACACGATGACTCATTATCCAACCAACAGTGATATTTTCCTTTCCATTCTGACCAAATTCTGGCCAAAATTGACAAATACGATCGGAATATTGTAATTGTCCCCGATCAACCAACATTGCTATACATAATGCACCAACTGCCTGTATAATAATTCAATTCGTATATCAAATTAAAAATACATTCCATGCATATGTTGGAAAGAAAGAGATGACAAACTTTTGTTGCAGAAAAAACGACAGTTCTCGTATCGGATGTCCAAGGTCGAAGTGAGCTTTTATCAGCGTATCCGCCTTGCAGGTCAACCACTAATTCACCATTTCGGTATATCGATATTGCTGCACCTTCCCGTTCCCATCCATCGATGAAATTCTTCCTATAAATTGAAATGGTGAAATAGTAGTCAGCTCAATGATTCATTTTGTAGCTCTAAATAATTTGACTAGATAATTTCTAAATAATTTGACTTTCGAAATGAATTTGTCAAACACAATTTCAAAAAAAAAAAAAATTTTTTCTACCGAATACTTGGTTTGATTAAATATTTCATTGTTTGTAAAAATCATCATTAAAATAATTATTGCATAAAATCGTAAAAAATTGATGATGTTTTTCTTTATTGATTCAATAAGTTTTTTTTTTAATAATATATGACAATTCGTTTCATCTATCCCATCAGATTGATTATTAATTATATATCATCAGAAATAGAATTATCACAAGCTCTGTTTCAAAAGGTAAAAATCTCTGTCATGAAATGTTAGTATCCTATTTATCACTAAATTTCTACCCTTCATGGTACCGAAAGAACTTGTTTTGCAACTCGCAACTAGAAAATATGAGTTTTTGTTCTTTCCAGTTTGATGATTTCTATCTTTGACAATGTATTTTTATTTTTAGTTGTAATGGGAATGTGAATGAATAAGGAGATGAAAAAGCAAAGAATACAACAAGTTCTATTCCATTCCCTAACCGATATTTAATCATACCCAATTAATTTTTATTTTATTCTTTTTCTGATGAATCTGAATTGATATTTTTGCCTTGCAATTATTTACACTTTACATTTGTTTCTTTCTGTCGTAATTAGAAAAAAAAAACAAAATGGTATATCATACTTTCATGCAGTATATCGTCTTAATATATATGATAATTAATTTAGATTTTAGAGCAGAAAAAGAAAAATCTATTGCGTTCATTTTTCATCTATTTGGTGCTCTAAAAAAATTTAAAATATTTTTGCTTTCTTCAATGATAACAGTGATTAGATAAAAAAGAGAATGTGATGACAGATAATAGTGACAGTTATTGTTTTATGTTAGTATGTTATCCTATCAAAATTTTTTTCGATTAAATCTTTAGTATTGAAACATAAAAATATGTTATTTAGCGCATTTATCAGTCTAACAACTACCCATTTGCTCGACTTTTTAGTTCTTCTTTTCATGCAAGCAAATCATCGCTTATTAACTATTTTTAATAAAATAAAACATTTCTAAAATAAGCCGACTAGAAGCTGATTAACAAACTTCCAATAGTTAAAAATTTTTTTCTTAAAATATCAAGTTTTATTTCAATACTCCTAACATCTTCATAGAAAATATTAGGAATATCGAAATAAGACTTGACTAGCCATGATGAATTAAGTAATCAGTGTCCAGGTAAGATGAAAAAATTAGAACTCTTACAAATCAAACGTAAATGACAACAATAATTTAAATCAAACTTGAAAATAAATTTGCAAAATATTTAATTTTTCAGCATTTGAACGAATGAATATGAAATACCCGTCATACTGTTTCAAAATTTATGAAGTCAAATGCAATTAATAAAACTTGATTTAAATCAACATTTCATAAAGCATAGATGGTGTCATTTTTATTTGCCATTATAAATTGATGAATAGTTTTTAGAGAATAAAATATTTATTAAATATTTCCTACCTGAAAACTTTTTCGACTTCAATAAATTGCTTCGTTGTTGTACCAAATATATGATTACTCAGCTTGCAATATTTTCCATTTTCGTGCGACATGATTGAATTGATTTAAAAATTATTGCAGCTAGCAACACGAATAGAGCTAAGAAATATTGTTGAGGAGTGATGCTATCAGTAACAGTCAAAAAATTCAATGCAATTTCAGAGGGCGGTACAACCATCATTGATGTCGTCTGCGCCACTGTTATATGATCCTCTGTTGTTTTGATTGCATTTCAAGTGCTGCTTACAAAACTGACAATCTTAGAAAATGAACGGTTCTATATTACGATGAGACGAAAAAATAAAGCAGTTTCAAATGTTATCAATGATCATTTGGCTTTATAATTAGCTATCACACTAGAAAACTGTAAGAGTGAGTTTCAATTCAAACAAAACAATATTAAATAATTTAATTATTTTCTCTGAGTCTATCACGTATACCAAAATGATTTTGAGATAAAGAGAATAAACCCGCACTAATCAATGATAAAGCTTAATTATTAATTATACGTAAAACTACGAATCGGTACCGATTGATGTTGAAGAATTTTTCATGGCTTTCCATCATTTGTAATTTTCTTCGAAGGTATCATAATTGCTAAGTTAATTGCAAATGCACTCGTAATGTTTGCTGTGAAATAAATCTTTTTTGATTTATTACCACTTATTTTGCATGAAATAGAACATATAAAAACTTTTAAAAATAAAGTTTCAAGAATTACTTTACCATTTAACACATTTATATGTTTCAAAAGTGGTCGGGTAGAATTCAAGAACATTGGAAAAGTACAAAATTAGCTCGAAACATTTGTGGCACAAATCGGAAAGAAACAGACAGTACTGATAAAGATAATGGTGATATTTGTGAAGATGGTGATGAACTCAAGCGACGATTACTGCCAACTTTGACCGCTACATATGAAGAGGTAGGTGAGTATAGGTATGCGATCACTGAGAATATGAATTTGGAATTACTGATATCTTGATTTTTAGAAGTTTCGCTTCTCTTTAACTTATTATTATTGAATAAATTGTCATACTTTATTTTAACAAATTCATTAATGTAAAATGAGGTCTTAAACATTTCTCTCTGCATCAGAAAGCAATTAAAATAGTTTTTTTCCTGCAGGGCGGTCATATAACGATATGGCGAATGCCAACCGAAATATCGCAATCACGATTAGCTGGTCGTTATAAGCCATCTAATGCTTGTACAATAATTGCTGTCAAATTGATTGAATATATTTATCGGGAAGGTATTGTACTACGGCCTACTGAAATGAGCAAAAGAATTGGTTCCGGCTCGCGTCAACGATCCCGAAAATGGCCGTCGCGACTATTTGCTGAATTTGAAAAAGCACAACCAATTACGGTATAAATTCCCTTTAACTGCTATTGCCATGTAAGGATTAGTGAAAATGATGTAATGTTTTGAAATATTTGATTGTGAAATACAACTTTGTAAAGAATTTTTGTTTTTGTTATATTTACGTGTGAATAACTCTCCAAACAATGAGAAGCCGACCAATTGCTAAATGTTTTTCTTTGCAGCATTGTTCAGCACAATTATTAAATGCATTTATTAATGCCATCATTGAGGGTAATGAAATACACGAACAACAAATGGCAAAAAGACGTCCGTTCTGTTGTTGTAATGATCACCGTGTGGAGACATTTACTATTCCACAGGTATGGATGTCACCAAAACATATCCATAAATATACTTAGCAAATGGACAGATTAAAAGTTTGTACTTTTTTGCATAAAATAAGGAGTATTTACAAACAATTTTTTTTCAATTTCAAGAATATTAACAAATTGTATAGCAAGAACTAATTTATTATTTTTTATTTATGACATATAAAATGAATTCATTTATTCATAAAAATTTTACAAAATAATACACGTAGGCATTGGAAGGATGTGGTAATGTATTTCAAGAAATTGAATTTGTTAATGTACGCGGAAAAATTATTTATAATTTGAAGCCATTTTTGCTAACGCCTATAAAAAGGTTACAGTTCTCTTTTTCTCCTTGATTATATATATGTATATATATTCTGAATCTCACTCTTTTCAGATCTTAAATCATCGGAATTTTGTAATTTATGAAATGGTGAACGCTATGATTTTTTGCTTCTTATAATTCAGTAAACTAATTTATCATTGAAATTCTAATATATAAACAGATTTATCTATTTATCCCTCTAAATTCAATTAATTATGAGAGAAAGTTAACCTTTTTATGGAATACCTCAGGGCAGATAAAATCCATTTCTATTTCCCCTACAGAATTGTATTCGGTTTCTTCTTTCTATTTCAACTAAAAAAAGGAAATATGTAGCATATTTTAAGATTTGTTATCCGGATCAATCGATATGACAATTTTAATATTGTTAAGAATGAAAAAAGAGCCAATAATGTTTATTGCAGTGAATTTCTCAACGATCACTTGCAAATTTATATGATACTTATTTTATTTGAACGATCCGTTCTACTGGTTTATGAGCGTGAATGCAATGCTATATTCTTGTTTGACACGCATACACATTTGAATACAAAACATATGAAAACAGGTAAATGCAGAAAAAATGACTTTTGATAATTCGATTAAAAAGGGAATCCATTTTTGTGTACTTTTATTTTAAAAATTCACTTAAAAAGGAAATTTTATTCTATCTGTTTTAATCTAACAAAAGTAATTTATTTTAGGAGGTTTGATCGCTATGTGTTCAGTGAATAATTTAGATTGTTTGATTAAATGGATGTGTAAAAATATTTTCCCGGAAACAGATTATAAACTGGGTTGTGAGCAGGTAAATGATGAAAATTCAGTTTGTCGAATTGAGTTTCTCTTTCGAAATGCTAAGTTCAATAAATTTCAATTCATTATTGTTAATATAACTGATGCATGCAATTCTGGAAGCGCATGACATGTTTGCAGTCCTTCGAAATATCCGTATTAACCTTCAAGGGTCAACTCCATAAGGACGACCATCCGCTATTCATTCCACGGGCTGTGGAAACATTTCATGTCTTTCCGAGGCAACACGTCGATCAAACATTCCAATTGCAAATGCAAATGCAATGTACTAAAACAAACGAATCAAAAGCAATTTCGAATAAATTCTCGTAACGATACAGTAACATGAATGATTAACACATTCTGAACACAAATTAAAAGAATGATTGGACTGATTGTTAGAGAGGTGACATACTATCACAAAGAACAAATCAAATAATCCGGAACAAGTCGGGTGAACCCTCATTCTCTATTCTATCAAGACTGAGGGAAAGATGTAATCTCTTATATATCTATAAAAGGTTAATTGTGAATTTGATCAAGAACTTGGAAAGTTCTTACAAGCAAAGATATCGCATCTGAAGCAAAATACCTAACAACTTGCACTACGAGTTCACCGCTTCGTTTAACTTCGCATGAATATTTCCATCCCACAGTATAATAATAATAATTCAGAAAACACGCACACACTTTTGAAATTTTTGTATGCTAATGCTTAAGCTCTCGAATCTGGCGGTAATGATTCCGATGATAGAGACAAATTGGATTCTCTTATCCTATAAGTGATGTGAAGTTATATTATATTATCACAAAATCCATTATTTCACCAATGAGCAATTAAGAAAGTTATCAATTTAGTTAGCTATTTTACCATCTGGTTTTTAAGGCTCAAATGTGATTAAAAATTAAAAACGAACATTGTATTCGTTTATAGGTTTTTGCTTTAGTTCCGGAAGGACAAATGTTTTGAGAAAGAGTAAGGTAAAAGTGCTGGAAGAGGTGAGAATTCATCATCTATCATTAAGACAAGCTTACCAGAAAGATATCATATAATGCAGGGAACCAACTTTTGCAACATTTATGACATGTATTATAACAACGAAACAAAAATAAAAATGAATCTTTGCAGTCCCGCAACAGCTACAGTTTCCCGGATGTATTGATATCATGATCAGGATTATTTCCGATTACGGAGATCATTTGAGCAAGTCAAATATTACTCTTCATTGGCTTTTGTCACTGTTATTTTGTTGGTTATTACAGTTAAGAAACAATAATCATTCATGCACATTTCAAGTTTCGTATTCATGGCTTCATTCAATCGCACATGAATATATAATTCTTCGAAAAAAATAGTTAACGTAAATTTGGCGTAGCAATCACTTTTTCGTTATTTTTTAACCAATAAGGATTTAAAATTAATAATTTAAATAAATTTTCAATTTTATGATGAAAAATACAAATTCTCTGCGCGATATTTGCACTCAAAACACGCGCTGATAGCATAACTTCTAGTGAACATTTTGCGTTCAATGTATTTGAACTCTTCCAACAGTTACTTCTTCAGAAACCGATATATTTCAGTGGTTCAAAGATAGAAATAATGTTTGCTTATAAAATAAACTATCTTATAAGCTATATTCATTCCTGTTATTGTTCTTGCTTTCGAGCGGCCTATTTACAGTCATTGATCTGAGTGGAATGCGTCAAATACGGCTAACAGATGATGGAGGAGAAGATAAAGCAAAAATGTTGAAGAAAAAAGAAGTTAATCATTCCTATCAGTTGATATTTTTATTAGTTCATCATTTGCTCTCTTCTTATTGTCGTTTCTACTTATTTGTAATTTTTATTTTCACAAATTGCTATTGTAACAGTAAAAACAAGAAGCTTTGTGGAAATGGTCCTAATAGACTGAGGAAAATTTCTACAGAGACGAATTCTTAAATTCCAACTTTTTGTAAAATCTATTTTGACATTTGCAAAAAAAAAACAACAACAAAAGACAACTGCATTATTGTTACTGTCAAAGACCTTCCATTCCTCTGAAAACAAGCCGCATCGTTGCAATCGGCTCTTTATAATATTCATCAATAAAAGTTTGATACAAATGACAAGTCCGATATGTCTCTTCAAGCAGACTTCTAAAACTTTAGCCTCTCTCTTCCTCATATTTCTTGCATGTTGCTTTAAAACATATCTGAACATTTTTGGATTTTTTAATAGTATTTTCACCTTCTTAAATAGATTGAAAATTTCTATTTCTGTTTAAATTTGATGGAAAATTTCAATCTTTTTTTTTCTCATCTAATATGCCAAAATGTAGGAATTTACATATTTATGCTGCTCACACATATAAACATCATCAATTGAAAAATACAAAAGAAATTTGCTAGATAATTATCAAACTATTCTACGAATAAATTTCACAAAGCAATCTGTAAGCTATTTTTTTCTTTGCTTAGGATGAAAAAAGTGGTTACGTGTATACAAGCGCAAAAGGCTATTTGCGTGATAAATCGAGATTTCAACATACGAGGCGGGAATATTCCTACTTACCGTACTATGAAAATATCAATCAGAATGCTTCTTTTTGGTTAGAGCAGATAAAAGCAGGCTTAGCCGCTTCCACTTTGCCGTATGCTTCCGACTCAGGAATTTCTTTTTGGATGAATCAACTAAGCCAGTTTGTTTTCCTTTTTCATCCATTTCATATTTCATCTGAACACAGTTAAACAATAATAAATTGCTACAAAATAATAAATAATAATAAATTGCTACAAAAATTTTAAATAATTTCAGATATTTAAATCATTTCTATCATCGTTTCTCTAAGGCCGATCATATAAAATTAATCAAATTCATTTATAACGTTATATTAGAGCCGGATTATGATCGAAGGCTTATTCATAAAGCTTGTTCATTGATCAAAACGCTAATTAAGTAATTTTTACGTATTCTGTCGCGAAACTCTTCTTTAAATCCATACATTTATTTATCAGCTGGTGCAAAATTCTCTAAAATTTGGATTTAAACATTTCCATAACTGTGATTGAAAATGCTTTATCATTTCAGTGATGAAATAATCAAACGTAATGATTTAACCTTACCTTGGAGACCAATTTATGATTTGTACATAGAAGTAGCTTATCAACGAAACAGTAAAAATTTGGAAAAATCAAACATTCGTTCAGCAGTTCTATCTGTCAAAGAATTATTTCCACTATCAGCAACAAAGGAAATCCTCGATGAGGTTTAGTTCTGAAAGTATCGATTAAATTAGAGTTAAAATAATGGTCAATTATAGTGCGACATTTTAGATACGGCAATTTATTGATGTATGGAACGATTATGCTATGGCTAAATTTGTGAGATTATTCTCAGCTTTTGTGCCACTTAAAATGTCCAATGAAGAGCATGACCTTTATGGTGCTGGACTGTGGTATGATGAAATGTGGTATTTTTATAATTTTGTCGAAATGAACAGCTCGTGGGAAACTCGCATACAACGTATATTCTCCGCGTATGCTTTTCCATCACCATTTTTCCTTTTCTTTTTCTCTACAATTATAAAAGTTTCAATATTAAAAAAAATAAGAGTTTGAAATAAAATTGCAAGATGCAAGTTCTATCTTCTGACTTTCAACCTTACGGTTCAGAAGATGGCTGTATTTTTATTTCTGAATTCATGAACTTCGAAAAGCTTATTGTCATTCAGGCCCTTCCAGCCAACTACTTTTAATTTGAGGAAACTTTTCAGACAGTAAAATTTTTTTTAGTCATAAATCACAATTAATAAAATCAGTTTAAAAAATTTTTCGTCACTAAAATGACAAAGAACAACCAAAACTAGTTTTCTTCATTCAGCTTCTCCACCAGACATGTCTCATTTCTCTTATTTTACAACTTTCATGTTGCATAAAATAAAATGCGTTTTTGCAAACTCTTTACAGAAAAAAAGACTTACATTCTTTTAAGGAGTGCACAATAAATGTTTTGTTGCATTGATGAAGAAGATTACTGCATGACAATTAGTTTTTGATAAGTAAAGAATATATTTGGAGACTTTGCAAAAAAAAAAAAAACTAAAAATGACACTTTAAAAATTTTAAAGTGCTATTTTTAGTTTGCAAAGAAATTGCAAAAAATTGCGAAATAAATTTAAACTTGAGCACTTTAAACTTATACATTTATCTTGTTATTGGCCATATTCTGTTGTGCATAACATTATTCTTCATCTCTTATCACCAATCACAAATTTTCGCAGATATGATGTTTCAACTTTATCAGTTGAAACATTACAGTAAAATCGTTAATTTAAAAACCCTTTCATACGTTTGAATTTTCTCCAAATACTGGAAACTATTTGCATTGTAGTCTGTGCAAATGTACTTCAGTACATATTCAATAAATAATAATGAATGAGAGGAAATTGGGTTTAAATTGAGGAAAAGTTGAACGGGAACGGGAAGTGCTTCTGATACTTTGGGAATAATAACTTTTTTTTTGTCGAGTTTTCGAAGAAGTTATGACATTTTTTTCAATTTCATTTGAAATACATTGTTCCTCCATTTCATGATTGATTAAATTGCATATTTAAAAATAAGACGAAATGTTATCTTTCTGTAATAGGTGGTTCTGTGTCAAACGTAATTGTGGACATAATTTTTCCTTCATTTTATAAACTTAAACACGTCAATTTAAAAATCAATGATTTTGAGATGGATAATTGGCGTAACAGTTGGCGATAAACCGGAGATGAAATCTGAAAAATAAGGCGTAGAATGGATATATGGATGTTAGATGGGATAAAAAAAAAGATGTAGATCAAATCATTTGCTGCATAAGAAATAAATAGTCAATCGATGAGATAAACTCTGATCATATTGATTTGCACATCTGAGAATTCCAATAATATATTTGAGCAATTTTTAGGATAAGTGAATATTGTCCAGGATATATCGATTGGTCATCTAAGCATACAATCATTTTTTCGAAACTTTTACGAACATTGAATCTAAGTGTAAGATACAATCGAGTAGCAGTTGGCGATGGAACAGGAATGGGCTCTGAAAGTTCCGGTGCAGAATGGATCATATGGATGTTAGGTGGAGTAAACGAAAGGTTACGGTTTTTGAAATTACAAATTCATAGTTAGTAGTAACAGCGATCATTTTGATTGGTATTTTAGTGCTCATCGATGTTTCGAGCGACTGATCAAATGTGTCGAATCTTTCCTGCATCCGTTACAGGAAGGTGGTCATACGCCAACTTTACAGTCATTTTTAGATGCTCTCGTTAATGAAATGGTGCGACGTGTTCGCATTGAACGAATACGTAAAAAAACTAGAAATAAGGTACGTATTCTTTTATTCAGTACTGAAAAACTGATAATTTCCAATTTTTGACTTCTACATTAATTGGTTGTCTTGAAATCATCTTTCTAAATTGTGTACAGGTACCTTTAAAAATGCGCCTTACCGATGAACAGATTGAATGGTTTGTCAACATATTACTTCCATCCGTGCTTTATTCAGTCTTTTCGACAGTTGAAACATCAGCGTCTAATGTTATGCGAAATTTAGCATTCCTTGCACCACAGCTTGTCCTACCAAAATGTCTCGACTTGTAAGCTTCCATGTTAATTAATTATTCCGATCAAAAACCACTCAAATAATATATAATTGGTGAGAGTGATCAATAACTACTGTTTACAAAATTGTCATTTTTCAACATAGAAAAATCTGTATGCTAAATGAATTATGCAAACAGTTATCATTGCAAATGTTATCAGCAGTGGAATTTTGAAATTAAAGTGCGAAAAATTTTAAAAGAAACATTTTTTTTTCATTTGAGATAATTCAAAGTAATTATATCATTTTTTTTTTGAAAATAGCAAAAAAGCACCTTATTTATTTAATTTCATTTTTTTTTTTTTAGAATTTATCCATCACTATCAACGATCACAGAACCGCATCGTTTGAAGCAATCATTGGAATGCATTGTTGAAATTTGCGTACCACTTGTCCGTGATAATGGTACCTATAATTACCGAACATATAATGTTTGCAAGCAGAATTGGATTAATAGTATTAGTGAGAACGCAGAGGTAATTATTATTTCTCTCTTATGATTGATGTCTAGTACAGTTAAATCTTCTACCCAACTTTGTTTTTTATTACATTTAAAGATTTACATGAATAATATTTTCTCTTCAATAGCTTTACTATTACTATGCAGATAAGGAAAGTTATCCTTGTATTATATTACTGCCTCTTACTGTCATATATACATTTCCAATAAGTTTGTTATTGCACTTCTAAAACGCAAACAACAAACATTTCATTTTTCTTTCATCGCTAATTCTTCATTTCGCTGAAATGAAAAAATAGAATATAAAAAATTCATTTCAGTTTAGATTTTTGCATAAAAAATTTCTGCTTTTTTATTTAAAAAAAAAGAAAAAATTCAGGACAGAGAGCATAAACTGTCATCATCGCCAGTAATAAATGAATCGGAAGTTCGTTCCGATCGATGTCGAGTACCGTTGCGTGAACACGCAATTTTCTTGCTTGAGGCATTGATTGAAGCTATCGATATTAATGATTTTCAAAAACTTTCGCTTTCATTGCAGGCAAATTTTAGCAGTTTTAATTTTTTCAATATGAAAGAAAGTAGGGAGTATTGTGGATGTTGTGTAGTGGGAAAAATCGATAAATACGTTGCCTTTGTTTACTTTTAAATCAAAAATTAAATTTCAAGAAAAAAATCTATTATTCTTAAATTAACAGAATAATACTCTTAGATAAAAAGTCATTAATTAGTTCGAGAAGGGAATAGACTTATCAGTGAATAAAATAGTACCAGTTTGACTAACAAGTCATTAATATCCAACATGATAGGTTTAAAGTTGGTTTAAACTGATAAGACATTGAATTCTAGTCCTGAAATTATGGACCAAAGTTTGTTAGGAAAAGAGATACAGAAATCTGAAATGCTATTTACTTTAATGGCGATGCTCATTTAATACAAAGATAATGTATGCATAATTGAACGGTCATATTCTCATCTAATTCAGCATTTTTTAAATTTCCTAATCTGATATTTCATAAGATAGAAAAATGTCTAAAATTGGTATAAACTTAGACACTGGAAACTATTTTTCAATTAATTCCAATTGTAAATTGCTCCGCTGCTCTTGAAATGGAACAGTATGCAAATTTAACTGAGGAGGAAAAACGTCTTTGTAAATTAACAGCACGGTTCCCAAATATTGTACAGGATTTTGTGAACAAGTAAGTTATCTATTTATGTGTTTTTTTAATATTTAAGTAAGAAGCATTGCCATATAAGTCTAAATTAAATTAAGTTAGTTCATAAGTTAATTATCAAAGCTTTTAAGTTAAACTGATTCTTATTGCTATGAAATAATATAATAATTTTGTGACATTACGAATTATAGAAAACGCTATTCATATTGTATTTTTTTGATGCCATACAATTAAACATACAGTAAGCATATAATAATTTTACTTGTTGTTACATTTCAAATAACTGTGAAATGAATTTTGAATATTGCCTGATTATAATTAATATATTTGGAAGATTAATTATAAGCATTTTTGTTTTACTTTTAAAATATTTGATTTTCCGCAATTACATTTCTGCGTTTTATGCTTTTGGCATATTTATATGCACTATTGAAACCCTCATTTCATATTCTTTTTAATTACTACAATTCTCATCTTTTTAGCATAAATATCACTTTAAAATTTTTATGCATATTATTTATCTAACAATAATGACTGTCATATTTTCGAATGATCAGATCAATTTTAGAGTATTTAAAGTGATAACACAATTGTCAAGTTCTGCACCAAACGATGGCATATCATGTGTGGATTCGATATGTGATAACTCAGAGACAATAATGATCGGGAGTGAAGAAATTGTGATAAGTACGAGCATCCAAAGTGCTTTTCATGCATTATTCTCGAATTGTTCATCCAATTTTGTTGAGGTATACCGTAACCACTGAAATTAATATGATTTTTTAATCATTTGATGATATTCATCAAATGAAATAAATCTTTTCTGAAATTTGATGAACAGGTTTCATTATTGGCAGCAAACAAATTACACCGATATTTAATATAATCTAACTTTTGTATTTGAGCCAAAATCCAAATTGGTCCATTTTAATCTATTCTCTCTCTGATTTAGCTACACCTCATGAGTAGAGAATAAATTTTGAATTTCTAATTTTTTATTCCATATCTAGTTGATGAATTAATAGGTAGATTATATTTGACAGTTTTTGAATTAATAGGTTTGATAGTTTTTCTCAATCCACTCCATGATCACCTATCCTGTAATATCGATTCCTTTTTTATGTGTAAAGAAAGAATTATTATGGATTTTGATGAAGTAGAGTGAATATGTACCTTTTAAATTATTTGAAACAAATTATAAAGCATTAAAATTTTCCTCTACTTTACACATGTCTGTCTTTTAGCTAATCGGTGATCAAACTTATGAATTCATTTCCACATCTGAATTCGAAAATATAATTGCTGCGGATGCTGCATGCTCACTTATACAAGAATCCACTTATGTGAGTATGCATTATATTTGAAATATTTTTTTCATGAAAAGTGAAAATAAGCATTAACAGAGGAATTGTATCAGTATGAAAGATATTAGCAAATTTAAAATAAGCTCACTTTTTAAATTTTCATCATCTCTTTCTCTATTCCTTGCTACTTATCATAGCTTTGAACAGTATTGGCTGCACATAAAATGAATCAATTTCATTTATATTTAGGCTAATCCAGCCCGTTATTTTCCAATGTATATTGAATTTTTATTGGAGAAACAAAAGCAATATATTACAGGTGAATGAATTAATTATCTTGCATGTTGGTTGAAAATTTTATCAAGATTTGAATAAAGTTTTTGCAAGTCTTCAATTGAACATAAATTCAGAAGTCTCATGAATAAATATTTATTTAGTAAATAAGTAAACATAAAATATTCCTAAGTGGATGGCATTTCTAAGAATAAAGAAATTTGCATGCTTTTTAAATTATTTCATATTTAAGAGGAGAAGAAAATGTTGAAAGAGCTCGATGCAACAACGATGTGGTTTGCATATTTGTCAGATATGATTTTCTCCGTTCCAAGCGATTTGATATTGAAATATCAGAATGAATGTATTGAAATGCACAAATGTACTATTTCTATGATTTGCCATAATGCACATCAGGTAAACTTTTGTTCTCTTTTATTCTATTTTTTTAAAAAAGATCCATGCTCGGAATCATTTCTTTTTTTCCACTGATATTAAATTGTAAACTTTTATAAAATCTATCACAAAAATTTTCCATAGGGAGCATGTTGGTCACTTAAAAATCTTTTAACACAACTAATAGAAGTTTATCCTATATCGGAAGAAGATCGACAACATAATTTAGATTTACCCTTGCATTTATCACTACCAATTAAGGTAAATTTTCTAATTTCGTTTAGGAAACTTTTTGAAAGTTGTAGTGATCATGATCTTTTTTTGCTTTGATTGGATGCAGCATAGGAAAAGATAACAATAATATTAATAATAAATGAAAGATTTATTACAGCATAGCGACCTTCGTCAATGAATGTCAATTTTAAGTTTAAAAATGAGAAAATTTTATGCACGGATAAATGGCGATAAATAAATTTTTAACATTCTAAGTGTTCGTAAACATTTAAATTTCTTTTACAGAAATGGGGTGTTAAATGTCTGAAAGATGATGTGACAATAAAATGGCATATTCCAACAGATGTTGAAGTGGATTTTGCGGAAAAATTATTAAATGAATTTGCTTATTCTGAGATTCAGTTACTTTCAGCACCGCAAAATATTGATAAGTTTGTTGTCTTCTATCAGTATTACTTAATGTTTCATTAAATCATTCGATGAATTATAAATTTTCAGTCTCTTATGAAACTAACCTAATTTATTGCTCATACAACTATTCTGCTTGCCAAAAAATATTGAAATCGAAGATTGAATTGAAATTATAATCATAATAGATTTGCAATCAAACGTTCACTGTACGTTGTCGACAGCTTGCTATCCTGTGTTGGCAATCGTCTTCCAATTTTCAATACTAAAGAAATTAAACTAAGCGAAACACCTGTTGACATGGATTGCACACATATAACATCCGTGTCACCTCGCATGAAAAGTTCCATTTTTTTTCTTTTTCTTTTACTTTTTTAAAACATGCCATTACTTCGCTAAGAACAAGAAATACAGAAAATGTATTTTGCATGGTATTTCTAGTTTTTCAAGTATTTTAACGATTAAAGTAAATGTTGTGATAATTATGGAAATAAGGTAGAATGGAATTGTTTCTCTCAAACAATTTAAAAAAAATAATTAAGAAAGTGTTGAGATTTTTTTAACATATCAAATTCGTATATTTAACCATTTTAACATCAAACTGTAATATCATTAATTGGCAATTAAAACTTCCTCGATAATTTTCAGTGTTTTCATTCAATGGTGAAAATATTCGAGAAAGGGTGCGTATTACAATGCATAATTTAATGGAATTTTTATTGAATCAACAGGATGATCAGTCAAAAAATCTTTTGCTCATTTCATCAGTTCTACAAACGTTATGTACTGAAGGAGTGAGTACTTTATAGTATTTACATCATTTATGGGGGATTTAAAACATTTCCTCTCATTGATTTTCATATTTTTTGCTTAAAAATGCAATTCTTAAAAGTTTTTTAAAATTTAACCAAACTAACAGACATATTTAAGTCAGTGCCGAGTTTTCGAGCGCTCAGGAGGAATAAACGAATAAATTACAGAGATCCAATTCAGGGACGCCGTGCTGAACTTTATAATACTTTTGAACGACGAATTTTCTCATATCAAAAAGTTGGATATTCATTAATAAAATGAATTACTTGAAACGAAATGTATATTAAAGATTTATGGATCAAAAATTATCGTTCAGAATTTAATAGAATGAGATGACATTTGGTAGGAATAATATTTTGTTCCATATTCTTACAATAAAAATATTTAGTTACATCTGCAATTAAATAGCAAATAATGATTTGCATCATCAATTAGACATAAAAAATCTGATTCTAATTGCAAATAAATTCAGGATCTGTATATCAAAAATTCCAAATTCACCGAATCACATCTCAAAATCATGAAGGATCTCGTAAAACTTGGAACAAACTTTTTCACCAATGTAAGATTTGCTGATATATTCAAATTAAGAAAAATGCTTCTATTTTTCGCAGCAAATTTCATTCATTAAAGGTGCGCATCGCTTCTCAAGCAACACTGAACAAATTAATAATCGAATTTCCAAATTCGAAAAATTTATTGGTGGACGATATATTGGAACATTTGGATCCAAAACGCAATATTAGTCATGAAGAAATGAAGGTAAGTTAATTCAAGGATAACTTGATTCTTGAGCGAATTTATTAATTATACTCAAAAAATGGTTGAGTCAATTGCTCGGGAATGTATCTCAAGCATCTTTAAATTGAAAAATTGAATTAATATCTGAATTGAATTTTTCTTTAAGTTCTGATTATTTCACATTCAACGTCGTTCATACCTTTCAACTAGTAAATTTTTAAAAAAATATAAATAAATATTTTAGGGAGCGTTGTATATTTTGAACAAATGCGGATTTTTAATTTCAAACATAATTTCTGTTCGTTGCAAATGTTGGCTAACAGTTTCAAAGATTAAAATTTCCGAGAAACCATCCATTATTGCATTGGTAAAACAGTCTATCGATTCTGTTTCCGTAAAACAATGGTCGCTTCAACGGAACACTGTGAGTTTTTCGATGAACAAAATGTTGTCATTTTTTTTATTTTCATAGCTCTATTCAAATTTTTGCTCATTTTATTTAAAAATAAAAACAATGGGGAAAATTTCAATTTCACTGCATAATTTGATTTTTACATAACTCACTCAAAGTTACGTCAATAAATTTTTATTTCAAATAACGATGGTGAAATTTAGTTAGCAGTGATAAAATTTTCAAGAATTTTTTTCGATCTCGGCAAAATACACCACACTAAATTCTATCATCCAATGTTTTATAAAATCATAACTAATACTGCGTTATGTGTCACCTTATCAATCCCACCGATAAAATTCCGCGATATTTGAAATTTCAAGAGAATAAATAAAGATGAAAGAGAGTTATATGAGGGAAGAAATCCCGATCGATTCAATTAGGAACATTCATTAACTGATTAATCAACAAATTTGTTTACAGAATTCAGCAAATATTCGTACCATCGCGCAAGAAATGTTTACTGATAACAATGCTAATAACATATTTTATGCCAGATATCAAGAATTATCTCAATCGCAGGCAATTCTTATGTCAGAAAATAAATTTAATGAAAAATATGAAAAGAATCAGCAGTAAGTATAATATCCATAAACTCTCACAAAAAAAGAACATTTCAAAATTTCATTTCTTTTTTTAATTAACATGCATCAGTGGCAAATTACTGTAATTTATCGTTTAGCTATTTTAATTTAAGTTGACCAAAAATTAATTAGGCATTGTCGTGTAAGGAATTATGCATTCACTTATTATTGTAGGCGAATAGATAATGTTCGCAAAGAACTCATTGAAATTTGCAAAAATAAGGGACAGTTATATCATTGGCGACAAGTTGATTCAGCACGAACTTTCCTTTTCACTTTTTATCGAAATCTTTTTACTGTTGAAGTGGCAGAAGTTTGTTTATGAAAACTGAAGATTTAGCACTTTGCTGCACTCAATATTGAAAAATTTTTGAATTTTCCTTGTATTATTCAAATATTAATGTTTATTTTAGTGAAATGAAGTGACATTAAGTGTAAAATTATTTTTAGATATTTCTTGAAATGTTAATTGATGTTCGTCCAAAATGGCGACGTGTTGCTGCTGAATGTATTGCCAGTTATTTAGAATGGAATAAGCCGCCAACAAAAAAAATATTGTGGAGCCCACCTGACAAGGCCACTTTAATATTTACGAAATTCACAAATATTTTAGTTTGATATTGAATTTGTGACGACTACTTTTTTCTCTTTTGATATTCTAATATTGTAGTTTTTTAGGTAATTGATCCGAAATTTAAATATGCATGTGGATTAAGACCTGATAATTTATGCATTGTTTATGATTCTGATAAATTGCCAAACGATGAACAAACCTGGAACGAAACAATATTTGTAGCGAAGCCACACTGGGGTGCTTATCAGTGGCCAAGGTTGCAGTTTTTTGGATTACTATAATTTTTGAAATTATTTCATGTTTCAGTAACCATCAACTACTCAATTTGTCAATGTTTGTTTCTGTCGAGCTTAAATATCCAATGCATTGTGATGCAATCATTTTATTTCTTTTTTCTACTCCTGAAATTACTAACATTTAGTTACAAAAGCCTTAAAATTACTGTTATTGGGATGAAAGCCTAAAATTGTAAAGGCATTTTGGATTATTTCAAAGTGAACAAGATTGAAATTGCTGTACCGAAGAATTTAATGTGTAATATTCAAATGCTTCGTGATGATGTAACATTACAAGAAATATCATTCTCCCGAATTGATTGATTGATAGATCTTCAGTATTTCAGGAAATTGTTGGTGACAGCTCCAGCAAACACACAAACGGAACTGCAACGTCCCGTATCGGAATACAATGATATCGAGAAATTAATAATTGAGTACATGAAAGATGAACAATTTCTGACTTCTTGGCATGCTATTTTATTAAAAGAAAAAGAAGACAGTGATGTATTCTATGCTAGCGAATATCGCTTCGTTAAAGTATCCTATCATTTTAATTTTGGTCTTTTTCAATTTCACATTACTTTCTTACAGAAAAATATGTAAATTGAAATTCATAATAATTTTTCAATCCTGTTTGCAGTATTTATTCCGAAACTTTGGTATATCATTGATACCACAATTTAAAATGTTGTTAGAATCAATATGCGATTCCGAGGTAAAAACATCACATTTCCTTTTAACTTTTTTTTCTACATTCTTCTGCAAGGTTTTAAATTTTAATAGAAATTTGTCAGTTAGCTTTGAATCGAATAACATAATTTTATTCTAACGTTCATAAATGTGAATTTTATTTAAAGAACAAACGTCCTGCAATACGACGGGCGCAGACGAAACTTGCGGCAACATATTGTGCTGGGATTATCCGTGGTTCAAGGAATTGGCTCTTCAATGATCTGCATGAGTTGTGGATCTGGTTGAAACCTATCATTGTATGTCAGATTGAAGGTAGTTTTAAAATCTTAATCAATTTTAAATCTTTTGATTACAGAGAAACATTTGGTTGTTTGCAGGTTTGACGTCAGAAACAGTATATTATTGGGATACCGCACTGAAGTTTTGCTTGGATGTTACTGATGTGAGAAGATTTCATTGGCTTGTGGAAACAATATTTGAAATTGCTTCAAGACCTTCACCGACAACGTGGCATCGATGTGTGTAAGTGAACTTTTCACTCCCTAAAATCTAAAATATAAAAGAAGAGAACTAAATCAGAACGGTAAAGTTGAAATTCGATTTTTTTAGCTAAATTGTTGTTTCAGACGACTGGGCCTTGTACAGTACATTTCTTCATGCTCAGGTTGGAGAACAACAGAATTGTTAAATCGTGTCATACACATTGCAAATGTTATGACCTCGCAAGCATGGCTGGCACCGGAAAGAGATCAAATTGCAAAGTCTGGAATTCGTTAATTAATTTCAACTTAATAAGAAATTTGGGAAAATTATTAATCCTTTCAAAACTTTAGTAGTGAATTAGTATGAATTTTTGCTAATTTAAATGTCATGCTTGATTTGATATTTCAGAACATTTTGAGTGCATTTCATAATCATTAAAAATCAAAAGAAATTTTAATCACTTTAGTAAAGGAAGAACAATTGCTTTATGAAATAAGATAGAACGATTGATTCCGTCATTAATTGAAAAAAAGAATTAACTTTTAGTGTACTTTCATTTCCTGCTACTTACGGTTTTGCTATGGGTGATGTAAGCAATATACCGGTGAAGTATAGAATACCAAAGTTGGGAGAAATAATGAATATATTTGATATTCATGTAACCTTTTTTTTGTTACAATTTACTAATAAACCTTCGTGTTTCATTATTTTTTAAAATCAATTTGAATATCATTGATGTTTTTTTAATGAATATAAATATAATTATGATTGAAAAATACCTTTTTTTGAAGATTCAGGAAATGATGAAATCGCGTAAAATACAAATGGACAGAAGAAATGTGTTACCTGTAGCACAGTCAAAGCAGTTAGCCGTGTCACCATTACCGCCAACTACTACTTTGTTAGAAAATTCACTCTCTGTTAAAAGCAAATTTAACAATCAGATTATTACCAATCAGAATGCTGTTATCATGAGGGTAAACTTATTAGAATTTGATGATTTATTTTTGTGACTTTTAAGAAATGACTTGAAAATCTCTTGACTTTTATGCGCAATTATTGTTTCATGTCAAATAATTTATTGAGTCAATAAAAATACTCTTTGATATTTTTAATTAGTTTCAAGAAAAAAAAAGTGAAGTTTTAAAAATCCTTTCAGCGTCAATTGTATATTAAAACTTTGCTAAGATTTTTGAATTCATATTTCCTCTCCTGTTTCGTAGCTTTATCATCGCCTATCATATCACTCTTTCCACTTATAACTCATCTGGCTGATGAAGAAACAGCGGAGTGAGTTTGTTTTATTTCAATCATTTAAAATTTTTATTCAATATTTTGCTATTTTTGATAATTTTTTAACTAGCCTGATTAATCAGATATTTGTGAAATGTTTTTTGTTTTTAGCAACAACAAACTAATTAATTTCAGCATGGACGAGACAGAAGTGATAAGAGATGCTGATTTGGCAGTTGATGCAAGTGATGTCTTATTCCAGTCATGGTCCGGTATTTATCTGTGTGATGAACTTGCTGATGAGATGTTAAACAGTGTTGAAAAGGTATATGGGATAAACCTTAAATTCAAAATTTCTTCATGTTTCACTTTTCAATTTAGTTTTCTGAAAAATCAAAGATTTATAAGGACAGAAAATTCAGTGGAAAAGATCAATCATTTCAGATAATTTTTCCACAATCACTTTTGCAAAGAGATTATTTAAAAAAATTAAATAACAATTATAGACGATGAATGAGAGCACCAGTTGGAAGGCATGGGTATCTATAATGAAATTTCTTCACGTATTCATATTTTCAAACATACTTGTTTGTGAGAAGCAAGAAAGACCTGAAATTGTGCAGTAAGTTTCTGTCTGAGAAAAAACATCTTCACTATCTAAATTAAACGATCGTTTGTTTATACGATAACGATAATATGGGTAATAAGGAACAGTGCAAAGTAATGTAATGCGCATATAATTGAAAATAAATGAATTTAAAATAAAAGCGTTACTGATCCGCTTACATGTTGACGTAGGGAGCGTTGTTTGTTGCATCGTTGAAAAATTGACAAAAGATAGATAAGCATGATCACTTCAATGGAACTCGAAAGTCTACATTTTTCCTGGCTTAGATTTAGCGTATTTTCATATGCCATCAGCTTATCTATCAGCCAAACACTGATTTAATTACACATCTGAAAAAATACGGATAAGAAATCAAATAGAACGTCCTTTGCAATGAATTGTTCAATTTTTCTTTTTCTTTCCAATTACAAAAAAAGAAAGCTCTGTAAAAAGTTTCATTTCACTTCCGATGATTTTTCGTAGCATTTTGTAATAGCAAAATTTCATGCAAAATGAAATTATAGACGAATGGTTTACAATGCAATTTGTCATACACAACTTGAAGTTCGACGAGAGGCGGCTGATTGTTTGACAGCACTAATACATTGCGGTTTTCAACCGCTCACCAAATGTTATATCGTAAGTTCTTCGAGTATGATTTTATTTTATCATTTTTATTATTAAATTATGATATGCAACATTAAAACGATTGCAAACTATAGAAGAGTAATTTATAGAAGGAATTATTCGAGCGTAGCAACAATGAAACATCGAGTAAGAAGCATGGCGCTGTATTGGCTCTATCAGCGGTAATTCGCGCTTTTCCATTCACTATTCCACCATTGGTGTTCGATATGATACCAAAGTATTGCCAGCTTGGCATCACTTCTGATTCCTTAACACGTGTGAGCAAGCATTCATTCTTCCGAGTATTCGTTTTCAGAAATTAGAAAAGCATTTACTTCGTACTTCGTTCTGCAAAAAGATTCTAAACTGATGAAGTTCACATTGACAGTATTACTCTACTTTAAGTATACATTATCCGGATATCAAAAAAAAAATTAAGAAGGAGCACAGATTGATTAATTGTTGAAATAAAAATTAAAAAGTTTGCAGAATACAGTAACAGAAACATTACGATCATTTCTACGTACACATCATGATAAGATGATTGAAACGGGTGAAAAAGATGTGATACAAAAATTGCTCGTTTTCATACAAAATGTTATCTCACCCAATTACTATGTATAAATTGTTTCGGTTTCTGCTTTTTTATTTTAATAATCAATAAATTCTGTTTTTGATGTTCTTCACGTACGTCTATCAAATTTTGAACTTCTTTTTTCAGTTTGCTCTAAAAAATACCAATATTTATTGCTATTCTTAGATTTATGGATTTGTTTGGTAGTTGCAGAAATTATGATAGCTTGAGAAATGAATGAAGGGATTAAGAAGGATTATAGACGTATTTCAACGTGTAAATGAACGAAGAGATGAAGGAAGATTGAGGCGATTTGTTAACGTGTAGGTGGACGAACAGCCGAGTGTACCGAATGTGTCAACGTGTAACGGGCGGACAGCTGAGTTTATCGAGCTTTTATTAAGTTGCCACTAAATATTGACTAACCGTAGGAATTACACGTCAGCGGAATGTATGTAGAAAAATGTGAACCATTCAGGCACGTAAAAGATTGGGTTGGGTTCGTCAAAATGTGACGAAAGCAAAATTTCTGGAATATTACAATGGCGTAAATTACTATTCTATCATTTTACAGTCGAAAACCGATGAGGTACGGTTGTCAGTCTGATAACTTGTAATTTTGCGAGACTTTTTTTTTAGGCATTAGAATTTGTTCCATATGAAAAATTTATTATCTGCTTCAGTAAAATTTAAAGTAAATCTTTATAATGATTCAGTTTTATGTTTCCAATGATTTTGCAACAATTTACAAAGAAGAAATTTTCAGGAAGAGCAATGACGACGACTACTGAAAGTAAGCTTTATCGCTGAATACATTCTCTGACTAATAGCATCTTCTAAAGATTTTGGAACAACCACTTAATCTGTCAAACAAACATATCTCTCTTTTAGATGACATCGTTGAGGAATATGAAAAGATCAGGAAAGCAGAGGTAAATTTTTCTAATCTTTAACATAAAAATGACAACACATTTGGCAAAATTCAATTTAAAATGAGAAGTGAAAAGCGAAACAAAAACATACAAGGCCTAACAATTTTAATTCTATTTTATGAAATTTGAATTAAAGTAATAAACCTTAAAAGCAAATGGAACTGGTAGCTTTCTTAATTAGTTCCATTTTATCGTGATCGAATACCGTCACGACAGGATGCGAATTCTTTAAAAATTCGTTCGGCTGATCGAGTCGAGGATTTGCTCTGTTTTCCGATTGGTTCTCAAGAAAAATTGCGAAAAACAGATCAGATTTATATGACTGATGACAAAAGACGATTATTGTTAATTAGAGAGTATACGAATATGAGAAGCTCGAAATCTGTGAAGCTCGTTTTCAAATACTTTAATTATTTGACTCCAATTTAGCAATTTTAGCGTTCGAATGTCATTTTAAATTATAAATTAAAAATGAAAAGGATAATATCATCTATCGAAATTTAAATTCATTTAAATTTATCCATCACTTTTTTTTCAAATTTCTATGCATTTTTTCAGCAGTTCGCCCATAACTGTTTCATCATCTCAAAAGATCACTAATTCAACAATAAAATCTAAAGAAACAATTCCAATAAATAAATCGATCTCAAGAACGAAAAGATCCAATGTATGATTTTCATAATCAATCTCTTTCACAAGTCAAGATCCCAGATTTTCTACTAAAACTAGAATTAATGAAATGTGTTACCTCCCATTGGTGACACTAACAATCTCGAAGTAGCCGTGAAATATTTGAAAGTAATGCATTTTCTTCACAAAAAAATATGAGCATTGCTTGCTTAACCGTTTATATAAATTGACTCACTCAATATCGCCATAAATCAGTTGACAAGAATTTGAAGCTGCATATTATTTACTCAATCAACATTCAGAAGTTTAATTTATATTATTCTTCTCAGCAATCAATATTTGTTAGCATGTTTCCTTAAACTCATACAACTAACAAACTATCAAGCAGAAGAATGTCCTGTAAAGAGAGAAGTATGAAATGTAGGTAAAATGGAAGGTAATATAGAAACTGATAAACTATCACTTGTAGTTTTCGGGACAAATTGGTACACTGATGAGTAAAATTAAGGTTCTTAGCCAGGATAATATGCTATATCGCATTTTTAATCGTTATCAGCATATTCAGACTTGATAACTGCAAAATTCCTCACCTGATAATCACATTCGAATAAAATATCAATGTTACTTCATCATTCCATTATTGAATTTTGAAAAATAAAAATGGATAAAAAGAAATATCAAAGTCTTAATTCTTCATTAATCATGCCATGCGCTAACCGTTGAGCGAAGAAATTAATTATCCAAATTTCAAAGGATCTGAATTCGGTCGGAACTTGTTGATTCCTCTTTTTAAGGAAACCTTCGGTCTCATATCAAAAGTCTTTTTTTCAGGATTCTGATCAGGAGAATGGTTGTGTGGTGGATTTCAAAGTATTCGTTGACGATAAAGCCAACGAAAATCACACCCATCAGATTCACATCCAAGCAAATTGCCCTGACTTCGCTCCCAATCATTTATACATTAATGGGATGAAATTCTCGCAAAAACTTTAGATTTTAAAGAATGAATAAATTATGTAAACTTAGTTGCAACTATACTTGGATGTACGACCCCGTAAAACGTCAAACGTTACGTTCAGGACGAACTCATCATTCAGATGCACAATTCCTGAATCCTCCAATCATTTTCTCCTTTATTTCATTGTACTTCGTTACATAATCGAAGAACAATTAGAACCAAATTTTTAATTATTGCAAAGCGTCTATTGTTATTTGTTCAAATAATTTCAGAAGGTCGCTCAATGGGAAAAATTATTGATAAGCTGCTTAGGAAAGTTGAATAATTTTATATTGGCAAAAATTTGAAATAAGAACAAGGGGAAGATCACAAATCACATTGTTTAATTTGAATTTTATTGAGCAAGAAAACAACAATATACAAAAACATTGATGCAGAAACATTACTTCTCACAAAACATCAAAAAATCGTTGGAAAAAGAAACCCGTAACACTTCATGTTTTTATGATATTTTCAAATTTCCAGGAATGAGAAAAAAATTTCATTTCACAAAAACATTAGGAAAACATAAGATACTGTGCATACCTCGAGGTAGCTTGCTTAAAATATAATTGCGCATTAAGAATTGATTACCATTTAATCTGAATGATACCTTGTATACACGGTTACGAAAGAATCAGACTTTGCAGAAAATAAAAGATACGTATTAGAACAGAGTTGTCGAGGAAGTTGAAATTCGTATCTTCCAGCTGTTAAACAATATAAATGTTAATCTATCAAAAAACATATGACGTTCTTTAGTTTCAATCCAGATATTTCTCATAGGAAATATGGAGTATAAGATGTTAAAACAATCAGAGAACTATTACAGACCAGATTCAGCAATCCCTTCATCATCATCAAATGCTGGATTCAGATGCACTTCAACGCGCGGTGTAGTAACCCATGTAGCATTTTTGGGCTGATGTTGTGGTGCAGTCCCAATAAATGTGGTACCTCCATTAGTGCTTATTATTTGGATATCGTTGTCTGTGATTCCTACAGCTAGCCTGTTCCCAACATCGTCATTGGTGATACTATTTGGAAAGCTGACAACAACATTGTCACTGAGAAAAGTTGAAGTTATAGTCCCCTCTTCACCATTACCCACTTGCGATAAATTGTTGCCTATCAAATTTGTATTCGTGTCATACTCCACCTCCAGAACATACAGCAAGCAGTGATGAATGAATATGTATTGCTGCTGAAAATAAAGTTTCAATTAAAAGTAAAAATTTCTTGACTTAAAAAAATGCCGACCGACCAATTCAAAAATTCATCCCTAGTCAACGAATGGTTAGCAATAAGTTCAAAGAATTAAGAAAACGGATGTGCTGCAGAGAGTGTTTAACACAAGATCATCACAAACCTCACCAATTTTGGTGAAAAGCAAAACAGGAAAAAAGCATAACCTCATTTTGCACCATATGACAACGATCAAGTCTCATCTCATAAACAATACCAAAAACATCGAGTGGTAAAGTTTTTGCAACACATTGCATTAGGCGATCCAACGCTATGAACGTACCACTTCGACCAACACCAGCACTGCAATCAGATTAATTTCCATGTTTTTGTTATAACATTCCATTAAATTTAAGTGGCAGGATATAAATCCTGTCCCATTAAATATCTTATTATCCAAACAAATAGCCGTGATAGAGATATTTACAAAAAAAATAAATTAATTAATTAACAAATGTTGAATAATAGAGTTCAGTTTGAAGTAAAGGTCTAAGCTTTGTAAATTTTATAGCGTGTTTACAATAGCAAAATTGTTAATGGTGTAGGGGACGTAAATTGAAATATTACTCTTAACTTGCAGCTTAGCTTTTCCTGCAAGGAGACTTTGACTTTACCGATCATAAGTACTCAAAATAAAACGTTAATTTCGATAAAAAGGAATATTAAACCTGCAATGCACAATGGTTGGTTTATTGTTAGGTGAAGGTGGTAGTCGGGTCCGGAAAAGACGAACAAAATGCACTAAGCCAGCAGCGTATTCTGGAACACCAAAATCAGGCCATGCCATATAATGCAAATGCTTTACTGTTCGAGGAGGTGCCAATGGTTCGATCATGTTTGTTAGCTTAAGTTCACGAACTGTAAACTCTTTATATACCGTTTCGTTCATTAACGTTACCTGAAAATACAAATTCATAAACTCGAAAAATAAAAATATACGACTAAAGTAACAGTATCTTTTGGAAAAAGGTTTACAATTAAGAAAATGTATGCTTTATGCTAAGCCGAGACTTTACTCATTGCAGATGAAACAAAATTTTTAAAGAATTTATCTTAGGATAAGAATAAAATAAATTTACAATAAATCACAAAAATTTAAACCTCAATGTCAGCATAAAGCACGCTGAGCTGATCATTATCAGGCCAATATTGATGACATTTATCACGTCCCTTTTCAACACATTTTGTTAGAGCAACTATTGCAGGGCAATGTTGTTCCCAAACAACTCGCCAAAAATGATCACGTGTGGAAGGAAGAGGTCCCTGTGCTGCGATGAATTCACGACGTGAATTGAACCCCTGTAAAAAAAACAATAAATTATTATTTACAACTGCCGTTCATATTCTATTTCAAATCTCTCGTTTTTCTCACATTGCTTTATTGCTGCCAACTGTCATAAAACGACCACTTTTTGAATGCAAACATTATAAACGAAGTACTCTGCAGAAAATTTTCTGATAATTTCATGACTTGAAGACTTTTGATAAAAAGGTTCCAACTAACAGGAATGTAAGATGCATTAATGTAATCTGAGCCATCGTCATCATCAGTTGGTATAAGCTTTACACGAGAATGATCGTACGGCAATATGTTCGTGAAACGATTTTTTGCTCGGTTCACTGTTAAATCTGCCGCAATACATGTTTGTCCATGTCCTACCAATTTCAGATCCTAAAGTTTGGGACCATTTTTCATTAATTAATTTAGGTTTTTTCATTAGTTTATGATAAATGTGATGATAGTAATGAATGAAAAGGCAATTATGTCTTAAAATGGTGATAAATGCTTTGAACAATGACAAAAATATGATATAACTCTTAATTAAAAGTGGATGTTAGAACAAAACAAACTTCGTATTCTTCAGAAAATCGGAAATCTGAATCAGCTGACATTAGTCGCACATGTTCAGCAAAATTATGAATAAGTACCGGTCTACTGAAAATATTTCTTTCACCGAAAAAATAATGCTTTTTTTTCTAATTCTTTTCACTTTTCCTCATTTTCTCTATTTCGATCATCGGTATAACGGAAATAATAAAATTCGAGTCCTAAGCTATAATATCACTCGTTGTCAAGCGATTATTCCAATCTCCCCACCTCTGATCCATTCTTACGACACCTAATTTAATTTGATTCTTGATTGGAAGAAAATGAGAAAAATAAGACAAAATAAATGGAAATTGATAAACAAAAGATGAGAAACTGATACTGGACGTTTACTTTGAGAAGGAATTAATCCTTTTTTTTCAGGCTCTATTCCTCTTTCCAATTTCTTTCACTTCTTCCCTGTTTTGTTACCAATCTTTCCTAATCTCGTTTAATCTTCTCTAATCCCGCCTTGCACCTTATAGATATTGACCGTACCAAAAGCGCATGTTCAATTTTACAAAAAACCAATATATTCTTAAGATTTTTTGATTAACTAAAATGCAAAGCAGTAAAATTATTCGGAAATGATTGCAAGCGATGTTGTAACTGCATTTGCTCAACTTGTCAAATTAAATAACTATTTATAAATAAATTGAAAAGGACCTTTTTTCAATATTACTTCCTGGAATGACTGTATGTGGTGTAAATTTCTGTAAAGTTATCGGTCCACTAGGTAATCGCTCTAAACGCTGATCAACACCTGTGCGTTCGCGTAAACTACGAGACCTAAAATTATTGAAAGATTTATCCACTATTAATTCATAGTCGATGCATTATTAGTTTATTGAAATCTTTCTTTCTCAAGTTTCAAGCACTTGAAATTGTCAGTTGAATTACATACTCCTTCAACTATCCCCTAAGTCCAGCATATATCGGAGACTATTTTGTTTATGAGACAAATCGCATATACTGAAGACAAAAACAAAGTAAAATAACAATTATATCCGTAATCGGATATTTATTTAGAACATATTCAGAAGCATTAAAGTAGAAGGAAGAAATATATTATGCGATTTTTCAAAATGATTTTACTGGTCAGATATGAAGTAACATCTCAAATACCTTCGATGATGTCCAGATGTTGTTACCAAATCATTCGATGCTGCAGAAATTACAGGAGTTGAATCTGTTGTAGTAACAGTATTTTGCGATTCACTTGTTTGAGGATGTAAGATATTTGCATTAGAAGTAGCCGTAGATGTAGCTGTAATATCCAAGCCAAGTTTGGCTAAACATTGGGCTGCTCGTCCGGCCATTATCATCTTGAGAGCTGCCCAGTGCGAGAAAACTTCGCCGTCACCAGTAATATTCTGCTCAGGTTTATGTTGATTGGTTGCAGATGCTATAATAATGAATAATTAAGTGAACATTTGAATAATTTAGCATTTCCTCTTTAATTATCATTAATGACGTCATTTCTACTGTAATCTATCATTAAATTTTTCTACGAAAAATTGATTTTACTAGCTTCTGTTTACTATTTCTAAAGCAAGTGCCCTATTTTACTGTTTACTGTTTTTAATCTGTTTACTATTTCTAAAGCAAAAGTGCCCTATTTCTCCTTGCTAGTGATGTTTTAAGATCAACATCAAAGCTATGCAAATGAAGCTGCATTATTTTAATCCATAAATTAAAATCAATTTAAAAAGAAACGATAAAAATAGGTAAAAACTAAAGTTGTTGGGATAAGTATCCTTCAACTAATAGCAGTATGTACAAAAAGAGAAGAAACATATTACTCGGATAAGCAAAATTTGGTCGTAAAACACCAATTCCAATTCCTTCCCTATCTCCTCTTTCTCCGATAGAGTTAAGAAATTGTTGCGAATAAGAAGTATACGGATGTTGTTGCCTGCCGTATATTCGAGGACTTAAATAATCAATCAATAAGCAATAATAATATAATAAACACTAATTTGTAAACATTTATTCTCATGCCTTATAATGTTGAAATAGTAGGGCAAATTAGCAGAATTAATATTAAATATTAGCTCATTCCTATATAAACGATATATGATTATTGATTGGATAATTGTAACCAATTTTCCACTTGATAAATTTAGATAGGAATAAAAATGTAAAATGAAAAATATTCCTGATCAACTGATAAGATTACAATTTGTTCAATGATTGCGTATAATCTCACTGCGTTAATTTAATTGGCAAATTTAAGGAAAAATTTAGGACTGATCATCCATTAATAGAAATTATTGGAAAAACAGAAATTTCGGAATTAAATTGTATTACCGGAATTTTCTCTTCGTCGATTTAAACGTTTGTATTTTATATTTCTAATGCTTTAATATTATCTCTCAGATTATTGTATCATAACTCTCTAATAACATATCATTGCACTTACTAATGCTATAGCAAACATTTCAAATAATAAATCATGAAGCGACGTTCTAATAGTAATAGTTGAAATTCAATCTCATATTTCAATGTTTCATTTTCAAAAAAAATACCTCGTCAATTTCGAGTGCAGCAACTTTAAACTCTCAGCAAAGTATTATTGTCAACTAAATCATAAGTCAAAAGTTCTTTTAAACCTTAATAAGCAATCATTTTACTTCTGTTTTTCCTCAAATTTCTGCTGTCCATCCCAGTTTAACTTCATTTAAATCCACATTTACATTTCTACATTCGTCCTTTAATCTTGCATCTCATGTGACATGACTGACCAGTTTGAAGTTTAATTAATGATAATTCACCAATCAAGTATCCCCCAATTCTTCTGTAAGCACCCGATAAGTTCAGATTTTAGTACATACCATTTGCAACTTTTTAAAAATATCGAACATTTATCGTTATATATCCCGATGCTAACAAGCTCAAATTTTAGAAACTTCTTCAAACCATCAGATTCATCAGTTTAATTTACCTTCCCTTGCAAACTACCAATCTAAAAGAATATTAATTAGGCAGCTATTAGCATTTTGAATATCTCCTAAAACCATACTTATACAAAAAAAAACAATTTGCTTTAAAGTTATTGAAATAAATGTAGCTATTACTTTAAATACCAGCTTAACCTTTTCTCTTTTACTTTTGAATCGAATAGATTAAAAATCGCTTAGCAAACTGAAATGTTAAGACTTTTTTTTCTTTTCATGAACAAATTTCTTCTCCCACGCATTATTTATCTCGAAAGATAAAATAAAACACTTAAACTAATTAATGCTTTGCAAAAAGAAGTACCAACTAATTTGAGAGATTGATTTCCTCCTACGCAACAGCTAATGAAAAGCTTTCCATTCAAATTACTAAAATTAGTAAATAAGAATTGTGTAGCTGTTGCTATAGGAAATATATCCTAGCAATCTATTCCTTTCTAATCTTTCCTTGCAGCATCCCATTTTAGCTTATTCTAAAAAATCAAACAACTGATATACAATAGCTATAAGTTTATTAGGGATAAATGTTATTTTTAATCATCTAAAGATAAAAACTTTCATTTCATTTCTTGTCTGTTGAAAGTTTACATATATATTCTAAAAATCATATTAAAAGTGCAACAAAGTCTCAGAATTTTTTTGAATTTTGAAATTTGAACTTCGAATTTTCTTAATTAAAGAAGACGATTTTACAATAAATTACAAAAAAAATCAAAATAAAGGATAATAATTGTGCTGCCAAATAAGTCAAAACCATACTGTTTTTTCCAACGAAAAATTAACAACATCAATTAAGATGCTTTTTATTTATCAGATTCAAATTTTATGAACCAATAAATGAAATGTATAGGTATGCGCTATTCCCTCATGCACAGCAATTTACAAACTTGAAAAATCTTGACGCTAATTTTGACTGGAAATTGAAATAAAGTTAAATAGTGTCAGTGGATGTGTATGTTAAAATCTGTGGAGGAAAAATTTACTCATTTTCGGTACTGAAATTTTTTTGAAAGTTAAAAGTCAAGGTATTTTTTTATTTTAAACAATTCTAGCAGCAGCATTTAGTTCATTCAACAATCTAATAGTTTAATTCGTTAAAATATCTGGAAAATAAATGAAATCCTTTTGAAAACAAAGTAGATAAGAACTGGTAACTTCTTGCCTTCAAAATTTACCATTATCATATACAAATATTAGTTTTGACAATTTTACGTGAATAATTTTAGCAAAAATATCAAGTTCGAATGATTAGCTTAGCTTGCTTTGAAAAGATACCTCATAATGTAAATAATTTAAAGAGAATAATGAATTCGAATGTAATTGTATCCAAAAATTTTATCTAACAATTGGCATTTTTTTTGCACTTCCCATGCTAATTTTACTGATCGAAACAATCAAACAGAGCTATATTTCATTTCTTTTTTAAATGCTCTCATGAGAATGAATGACCTTACTTCCAAAAATTTCCAAAAAAATTTTGAAATTTCTACAGCAATACTCCTTCAATTGTTATGAAGAACAACAAACATACTACCACTGTACACCGGTAGCATTTTACTTTAAATAATGAGTAATATTGATCAGATTTTGTAATACTTATAATTCACTTAATAAAATGTTAATTTTAATTTATATGATTCTAGATCTGAATACCTTAGCAATATTGTCAATATTGAAATACAGTAATCCCTATATTTTAAGGCAATTGTTAAGCAAGTATCAAATTAAGGGAAATTTTAGAAATTTAGACGAAATCATATGTGAATTAAATGACAATCACAAAGTTTGAAAAAAAAATTGATGACTTAAAATAATTATAGCAGTAATTATAACAATAATAGCATAAATTAAACGCACTGCCCACTCTTTAACTTATGATGAAAAGAACGATGTGCAGTGTCTGCGAAGCTAGAAACAAAATTGCTTAATTTCGATTCCATTTAATATTAAATGCAAAAAAAAAACTGCAGAATTCAATTTGATTTCTATCCATGTCAACTTAGGTGTTAGTATGTAACATAAAGAAATGAAGAATTTCAGAGTAAATTGAAATTAAGATTAACTATGAATGCAGTTAAAATGGTTCATAGAGAGATGGACATGAGGAATATGTTCAACAACGAGTTCTGCTCTTTGAACTCTTTTATGATGACAATGAACAGCGATCTGAAAGAGTCCTCGAATCTCTGACACTTTGCAATAGCAAATGATAACAGCGCCCAAGCGGTATCTCTACGGATCAATGACTGTAATGAAATTCACATTGGAACCTGCTTGTATTTTTCTCATCCAAAATAAAGCACGAGATAATCGCGAAACATTAAAGCAAACTGAAAGAACACGTAGCAGAACGGATCGACTAACACACTGATGCCATCATGTACCTCTCCGTCTCGCAGCTACGCAATGCACACACATACACATACATATTCCGTCGATCCATTCAAAAAACTGCACATCGATGTGGCAGGTGACAGTTGCGGAGAGGAAAGACGGAGTGGTGGTTGTTGTGGGCGGTATTAGTGACACATCCGCCCCGCCTACAGAAAGTTTGGGGAGATGAATGGGTGTTGTTCCCATCACATCTGAGAATGCGGGAACGATGGAAATGAAGTATACGAAACTGACCACTGATTTGTGTGCATCATTTCAATGGTTCATTTTGACCGAATATAATAGTAACTGTGCTGCTTTAATGTATTCCAATTTCACATCCAACTGAATTTTAACATCTTTTAACAAATTCATTTTTAAATGAAGTGGTCAAATGACTGGCAGTTTCTGTTTGCACATGATGCAGTTCTATTTCGAGTTTGTGTATCGCCTATTCTATCATATTTATGCTCTTTGGAAATTGATAAGCTGTTGACGTTACAGCTTAAAATTTAGATTAATTGAGTGGCTTTGAATGAACTACGTAACCTATGACTTTTGATCGTTGCTCTGCTACAATAATGATCATTTATTTTAAAATGCTGCTCTGGCACGATATTTAGGTAGCAAGGAGCTGTGACATTTACGAGTACTATTTTTCCGGAAGTGAATCATAGAAGAGAAAGAATTTTGTTCTATTTACCAGAACATTCATTATTTAAGAATGTACAAAAAGGAAAGAGAAAAATGATTGTAATATCCAACGGCATAAACAATGGAAAAAGATTGAATCACTGCTTTCAGATAGATTGAACTTGCAAAAAATCCCTGAAAATCATAACCTCCTATTGAAAAATTTACAATGAATGATTATTGATAGGCTATGTATGAAATGAAATGAGGTTTTACAATTTTACTGATATCATCATCTTATTGATTACTAGTGATGATTGCGTTTGCCCCACGATGGAAAGTAATATTGTATATTTTTGTATAGGGGAACGAATGATTATCAAAGTAAAAAAGTGGAAGTCAAAATATGTTCAATGATTATAAACGTATCATTTATATGAGGCGGTCAATATCACTTCTTCAATTAAAGCTTTCTCTTATCGTACAGAAGTTCTGTTAAACATTCTGTTATCAAAAGAAAAAATCGTTCATTGACAATCCTTTATAACGAAATATTAAAAATTTAAAGGATTGCTCTCTCTTGGTGATGGATTGGTGTACAGATGAAAAGTGATGTAATGAAAATTTGAAATAATAAACAGATGATGAAAAAACAAAATTGTGACGAAAAAAAATGGAAAGAAATTTTAGAGATGAAATCTAATTTATGAGGAGGAGGAAAAATTAAACAACTCATAATTTAACAATTCTAAATTTTACATTTATGAGTGATTACAGTTAAATAGTATTATTCATAACTTACCAAGACTTCTTGTGCTTTTTCCAAGCGAACAATGCAATTAATAAAGCAATGCCAAGAAGAAGAAGAAGCAGCAATGCTGTTGTCACACTACCCAATGTAAACAGTGTCGGTGACGCTTCTGCAAATAAAAAAAAAAACATTATATTTATTTTTTACATTATAATCTTGTTGAGTTTTAAAGATGAACAAATTTAAGTGTTCCTATGTAAGTATGCATAGAAAATATAATATAAAATTTGTCAAACGAACTCTGTAACAAAATAATGATGATAATATTCTAAGATATAAATGGAGGAAAATATTGTAAAATATACAGGATATAGGATTAAGTATAGACTGATAAACTATTCCATCGTTTTTATTTGATAGTTTATAGAATAATGAAGCGATTAGAACCATTTCTCATCAAAGTTTGTAATACGACAATTTGCAGTCTCAAAATAGAATAGGCTAGAAGTTAAATTCCAACAATTTTTTTGATATATTCATATAACAATGTCTTCTCACCTCGCAACTTATAACTAATTAAAAGTTGTTTTTACTCCTTTATAAGCAAAGATTATCTTTCAAAAATGGTGGAAAGAAAGAGTTTATTAGAATGAATCTTACTGAATTCGATAAATTTAACGAAATTTTCAATTAATGGGTAGACAGCAATTACCTTCTACACTTTGCACCAGGCTTTTATAAATCTCTAGAGAAAGGCCATTTTATAATCTATGCTTTCCTAGGCTCGTTTTTTTTTTTGCTTTAAGCTGAATAAAACTAAACTTTGAAGATGAAAATTTAAGTATGCTATAAAATTTAAGTGAAGAAGGAAGCTAAAATTACGAGAAGCTGAAAGGAAGGGAAAAGCGGAGAGACACATACTCAGACGTAATGAGCGCAACTTCCCATTCAGTGGGAAAACCCTTTCCAGTAGTCTCTGTGCCGGGGCAACTAACCAAATTCTCCTCAACAGCTGCTCTTTGATAAGAGTATTTAGATTGAGCACACGGTGAACACATACATACACATACACACACACACACACACACATACACAC